GGGGAGGCATAGAAGAGGAACGAAGGTTGAAGACACAGACAGCGACAGATGAATGAAGTTTTCATTCTTGAAACAGTGCGTGTGTGTGTGTCTGTGTGTGTGTCTGTGGACAACAGGAAGAAAAAAAAACAAAAAATGAAATGAAATAAAATTCAAATGAAAAGGAGGACAAACGATTTCTTATTGTGTTTGTCTCTAGTTTGCAGCTTCAACTTTCAGCTGGTTCGAGCATAATGAACATGAAATACCCTCAGGCTATCTGTTTGAATGTTACGTATTTGGAGTCCAAATCCTTTTCCATATATATAATTAAAAATATAATTATCATAGAATATATATATACACATATACATATCACATACACATACACACAGTAGATGCGTCTAGAGAGAGAGTTAGACAGGATATACATACCTTCACTTTTTCGCGTGACGTCACTACGCTTGACTGAGATCCGACACTCGTACAGAAGGAACTGAACTGAAGATTGTGGGCGGAGCAAGTAGATTCAGGCCTTGCTATAACTCCGCCTATTTCCTTTTTTGCGAAGGCTGTCGCATCAATGAGCCTGTGTCAGATTAAGCTGGAAGCATTGGTTTGTAACTCATCTTCAAGCTTGGCAATCGTTGCTTAGTCATTTTGTCTTTGACTGAAAATTCAATGGATTTTTCCCGGGTTTTCCTTTCTTTGCGTTCTCTTTTATTTTTTTTTTACTCTTTGAAGTGAGAAACCGAAATAGTCTATCTCCCTCCTTCCCTCCGACTGCTACTACGTCTTCTCTCTGTCAACGTTCTTCTCTCAACGTCAACGTCTCTGTCTGTGTATGTATGGATGAACGAAGGATGTTGTCAACAATCTATGATAGAAACTAATGCTTTTTGATGATGAAAAAAAGCTAAATGTTTCTTCTTCCTTAAAGCGAGGAAGACGATCAAGGCGAGACGATGAAGCAGCTTCATTGGAAGAAAAAAGGAATAGGAAGAGGAGAGTAAGGAAAAGGAAGAAGTGTTTAGGACGAGCTATTATCATTCGTTGCTGTGTATGCATGTGTCTATGCATGTGTCTATGCATGTGTCTGTATGTGTGTGTGTGTGTGGATGTGTCTATGGATATACGACGTGGATATCATATTGATGCCGAATCCCAATATTTTTCTCAGCTTTCCTCTAAGATCTATGATTAGATGATGGCTTTTTCACATTTCGCTACTTCGTATCCGGACAAGCACTTATGGATTTGATATGCGTTTTGATAATTTCCCGAATGTCTAGCCATTATGAAGAGTGATGGGGAAGGAAGAAGAGGGAAGACGAAGTTCACGACTAAAGAAGGAAGAAAAAAAAACCGAAGTTTCATTGAGTTATCTGGACATGTTGCTGATGGTGGCAGCAGCAGCAGCAGCAGTTCATTGTCGTTGTCTCGTCGTGGACATCATCTTAATTCGGAGTATGCAGTGCGCACAAGTAGGATGAGGATGATGCTGATCGTTGATTCAGCGAGAGAAAAGACTATGTGTGTGTGAGCGTTTCAATTTTTCGTTCTAAGACCCAATTCGGTTTCAAAAAGTAATTTCTAAACTTCATCATGCATTTGTTTAAATGAGTAGAAAAAAAGAAATGTAAAGGGTAAGCTGAGAGCATAATACTTCACCATTTAAAAGATCACCAAGAAACATATTTTCAGTTCTTCATTAATAAAAAAGTAGAAAGAGAGAGATAGAGAGAGAGGGAGAGAAACCTTTGCAGAAACGGCTTTTCAATGAACTTTTATTTTCATTTCAATACAAGCTTGCTAGGCTCTGCTTGCTATCTGATTAAAGTTTATCAGAGAGAGACAAGAAAAAACACCTTCAACTCACTATATGGCTATACATGACAACAATCAGAAAAAAAAAGAAAAAAAAGAAACGAAAAAGCTTTTCTTTCATGGTCCATGCTCAATAATTAATTTCTCAAAACATGTTGACTTCTGCTCAATTCCGTTCTTGATGCTGACAAACGTGGACTAATCGTGTTGTGCATGCCCCATTGCCAAACTATTCATTTTAAAACGAAAATCCCGTGTGAAACGGTCGGATATCGGTTGTATACATTGAGAATGCAAGAAAAAACACCTCTCTGTGTTGGTAACTTTCAATATATCAAATGTGAATGTAAAAATTAAATTCTTTCCAAGTATCAACATCAGAAACAATGAATGATGTCTTTCCGGAATGGCTGAGACTGTCATATGATGGAGAACATTACAGACCATACGATTTGAATATGCCGCTATCAATTCCTAAGTATGAAAACTAATTTCTTAAGATTTCTTTTTTTTCTTGGAAAATTAGAAGACCCATTTCTCATTACAAATTTGATCCACCGATTACTCAGAATGGAGTGGAATTGGCTAAATGCGTCGCTGATAACTTGCTTCATGCACATTTTCATCCAAGCACGGTTTGATAAACTAAACATCAAAAGATATGTTATATGATGTTTTAACACAGATTTATTCTTCACCTGACTTAGCCAGTATTCAAACAGCCTTTTCAATAATAAGTGTTTTCAAAAATAAAGATTTATCAATCAAAATAGAGCCGGCGATAAGTCGTTGGAGAGGTTTGGAGCCAATTGAAACAACAGATAGGTGGATGAATGTTGAAGATGTATGTTGTAACTATCATACTTATTATATTTTCTATTTATAGCTCAATGCACTAGGATATTCTGTTGATTCTACGTATATTCCCCAAAAATCCGTTAAAACTCTAAAGGATTCATCACATGAAAGCATTGAAGATTATGTCAATCGCATCAGAGTTGCACTAACAAGTGCTGAAGAGCAAGGAAAAAAGTATTTTTGATATATAGTATTGGTGAATGGTATCATTTATATGTTTTTGATTGCAGTTGCTTGATGATTGCTGATCCAGCCACACTTTTAATACTTCAAAACAATAACTGCGATTTGACAAAGCCATTGGAATTAACTAAGGTATTGTTGCTTTCTTGTTTCCCTCCATCTTACCTCTCCCTCTCTCCTTCCCTCAAATGCTTTTGTGTGTGTGTGTATGTGTCTATGTGTATATCTATCTATCCAACAATCACTTTTCTTTCCTTCTTTACTTTCAGAAGAGACGACACATTCTGCCGGCAAGTGTCAGCTTCAACTCTCATAAGCATGAGAAAATGGTAAATTCCGTTTATGTTATTGCATTTCTTACGACTTACTTTAAGCTTTTACCATTTACTCGATCAGTAGAACATGGTCGTCTGATGAAATCATAACGATTCTTCTACTTCTTCTGTCTATCCTATTCTTACTCAATTGTCACTCTATCGCTCTTCCCTCTCATACAATCTCTTTCTCTCTGAAGCAGCCTTTCAATGAAATTATACTGAGAGAGACGAAAAATTTTCATTTTTTAACACATTTTAAACAGAAAAACAAAGAACGAACACAATATCTTATTCAAATCCACAGTTTAAGCGACACATGTCTATTATCTTCAATTGTTTTGCTTTTCTGCCAAAACTATCACCAAAGTCTTTTTTCTCCTTCTCAAGAATAGAAAGAGAGACATAGAGAGATAGAGAGATAGAGGGATTCAATATGATAAAGAGAGAGAGAGAGAGAAGGATGTTCTGAAGATTATGAAATTGTGTTGTGTGTATGTCCTAGTTGAAGGAATACATTAACTATAATATATATAGTATATTTATCCTTTCAAGACCAAAGTTCCATTTCATTAAAAACATCGATGATGAACGTAAACTTCTACTCTCCTATCTATACTTTCCATGTAGAAGCTTTCTGTTTGTAACACAAAAAATAATATTATATCTATATAATATAGTCAATATCTGTGTGTAGATGAATGATGGCGTCATTCTAATAAGGAAGTATTTGGCATTTGGTAAGAAGCAGTTCGGTCTGCTGCCTTTGGTCTGCTGATTCTTCCAACGACAACGATGAGCATAGAGCTCATAGCTATTGCTCCGTAGCAGCACAATATCAACAACAAGGTAACGAATCTATAGAGGAAGGGTAGATGAAGAACAAACACATCGTCATTGACGATATTCAGAAGATGTCCTTTGTCATTTAAATGAATTACAAAGAAACAAATACTTGTATCTTCTTAAATAAGGTTAATATGGCTTTTGAAGAAGAAGAGTTCACTGTTTAGCTGAATGAACTAGAAGATGATGTGTGTGTGTGTGTTGTTAGATGCGTAAGGAGTTGGGTAAGAGATATGATTGGTTGGTTGATACGCAGTAGGTAAGCTATGGCTATGATCATCATCATACAGTTTGTGGAATATTCAGAATGATTCATATTCTCTGTCAGTTTTGTTTTTCATTTAACAGTTTATTGACCTATTGTGCAAATAAATAATAAATTCATTTACAAGCACAAGTCTCATTTACAAGCTTCATCATTTAGTCCACCATCCGAAATATAGTTATTATATAAAAGCATATAAAATATTACAAGGAGCTCAAAACATATATAATATAGAGGTAAGCTTTTAATTATGCTAATCATATTCTTATGTGTTAAGAATAATAATCAGTCACATCTACATAGATTGAGAGAGAGTGAGAGAGCTTTCTCCAGATGGACCACAAACGGATTGAAGGTAGGTAGTAGCAGCATCATCAGGCAATAGCAGTAGCAGATACAGCTTACTTACGTCCGAAACGAAGATATTCGTGCTTTCTCTTTCCGAATCTATAACACATAGACGATCGTATTGCCATAGATGGTTATGTATGATATTACCTCAAGTATTCATGCTTTCTCTTACCGAAACGAAGATATTCGTGCTTTCTCTTACCGAATCTGTAATTATATGATATAGTTAAATAGTTATTGTTATTATTACCTCAAATACTCATGCTTTCTTTTGTCGACGCCAGAAGCATCATCTTCTCCCTCTTCTGGGGCAGCGATTCCTGAATTAGAATAATCATTAGTTCGTCCAAGAGTGCAATTTCTTTTCTTCTTCTTGTCTTTTTTTTGTCTTCAAATAAATTTTAATGATTTATTCAAAACACAACGCTCACGCATAGCCAACCGTTCAACAACCACATCGGCACGTGCAAATGACATTTTGCATTTGTTCTTGAGCTACGTGAGAAGTTTTCACGTGAAATCTGGACATGACACGTGGGTGGCGTATATGAATTTCAATGTTTGCAATTTTCCATTTTGAAAAAAAAAAAAAGACAAGAAGCTGTCTATTTTCCCTCGTCCTCACAGTTTTCCTAATTTTTCAGAAGTTCTCTCATCTATCTCTCTATCGTGGACAGAGTTCTGTCAGCCTATCAGAGATGTTACACTCCTCATAATACATTATATCTCCAGAATATTCGGTAGCAGCAAGTTCATTCAGCAATTCGTCATGATTGTTTTTCAGTTACTAGAAATCTATTGAGAACAGATAAAGCTCAAATAGATTGTAGGCAAGCGAGCCATGGAGTGAAAAAACCCAGAAGGAGAAAAAAAAATGATGAAACGAAGAAGGATAAGATAAAGAAGACGACACACCAACGACGTTCAGAACGAAGGCAAACTATTGACGTCTGTTGTTCATTTATGTATCTGGAGACTAAGAAGAGGGAAGCCATGACGACATACAAGCCTGTTTGACATGTTCAACCCTATTTCGTATTTGAGATTTTTGAATGTCTCTGTTATCCCCTCAGGAGAATGCAAAAGGAATGTTTAAAAGATTTTTGTCTCTGTTTTCTGATTTGAAAATGGAAATAAAGCTATTGGAAGACAGAAAAAGATGGTTGTCAGTCGCCCTCTATGGCATTCGAAGAACCTTTAAGGCATATCCATTCTCTCTCTCTCTCTCTCTTTCTTTCTCTTTCTAGTTCTCATTCTTTATAATCAAATTGTTTTTGTCTCTCTATATCGCTCTTCTCTTCAATCACTATCGCTCTGGCACTCTCTCTCTCTTCCTCTCTCCATGTCTCAGAAAAACCATTTTATGATCATTACGGAATTTATTTTTTATTTCATCCTTCCAATTCTCATTTTGATTTTGTTTTGACTTTTCCATGAAAGAAAAAAATGTTACCTTGGTTTTGCATGAGACGTTCCAATCCTTCCGAGACCAAAGCGCCAAGCTGAGCCAACAGGGTGCTGCTTTCACTCAACTGGCACAGTAGAAGATCTTGTTGATCTCCACCTCCGGTTAAAATCTGAATTGTTTAAGATATAGGCTTGTTCCGGGAGAGTGGATGAGTTCAAATTGCTTATGAGATGGGTAGAGGAAGCGAGAATGCAAAGAATTATTTTAAGAACCATTGTTGCATCAAAGATTCGTAAGTCAACAATAGTAGGAAGAGGACAAACGTCTTCAGCGTCACCAGACTTGCTTCATGCATACATTCTCTTCGTCTATGCTTCATGAAGAAGAAGAGCTTTAAAAAGAACTCATCATCACTCATCACATTCTACTCTTATCACTCTTCTCGGAGTTTGGTGCATTGAAGCGTAAACGCATATGCGATGAGCCTTTTTCGACTTTTAACCATGCCTGGAACTCCCCCTCTCTCTCTCTCTATTGAAGTCCCTCTGATCTAACGTCTTCTGCTCGTTTCAGATAGAAGCTACAAACATCAAATTAGGGCAAATTCATTGAATATGATGACCGGTAAATAAAGCATTTCATCATATTTTCTTTTGCAATTTTTTTCATTTGAACAAGACGATTGTTTTTGCTTTTAGTTCATCCATTAGGTCAAATGAACTTGCAAAATATAAAATTTCATCTCTCAACGTTAAGCTTCAACCTAAAGCTTAATTCATCATCTTCGACAATTGCCGTATAAATCATCTGGAGAGATCACTTTATGCATTACTCCCCTCAATCTTAACGCATACGAACTACTTACTTACTCATACACACACACACACACACACATATGGCTTACCTCCTGTGGTACAGCAGGTTAGCCAACCATCATGACTTGCCGCCTCATCAGAACTTGTCAATTATGGTTTTTGGGTTCTCTAATTGGCTCTTCTCCCTTTCTTTCTTTCAATACATTCCAAGAAAGAGGTTCAGATGATGCCAACGGACATTTCGTTACTATCCTACTAGTTTCAACTGTTTTTTGGTTTTCTCTCTCTCTATCGCGCTTTTCACTTCGATATATTTCAGTTCTTCAAAGATCTCAACCTCTTTCCCTTCCTGTGTTTGAGAACTTCTTAAATTAGACTTAATGAAGTTCTCAGCTTTCTCTTCTTATCAACAGGACACATTTCCTTCAAGGCAACGTTCACTCACGCACACTCACACTCACACACACACATTTGCAATGACCTAGAGAAACTTGAAATTAGGAAACAACAGCAGCTCTTCTCAGAAGTCATGAAATTTAAATATTTTCGTGATGACCTTATAATTTGCATAATTAAAGAAGACTGTCCATGTATGGAGAAAAATAAAATATAACTTGTGATGGACTCTAATTGAATTGAGGTGAAACACAAACACTTCTATGAATACATTATGATCCCACGATGAAGATAGATGATGTTCAAGAAGCTTGCAAATTAACGTACCTCGTTACAGTTCTTTCCAGAAGCTGAAGCGACGGCTGCAGCTGATGCATCGGCAGCTTGTGCCCAGGCTACAGAAGCCACAACAGAAAGGATGATAGACAGAAGACCGACTGTTGCCAGACCACGCATCGTGTACAAGTGACAAGCTAAGGGGCGGATCCTGAAGCAAAAGCTCTAACTCCGCCCAGCTTTGTGTGCAACACCCCCGGCTTTAAAGGCGTAAGAACTAGACAGTATATAAGCCGATGAGGTTAAGAGAGATGAAAGTAATGAAAGAGTAATGCAATTAAGGAGATAGACGATAGAAACAGAGTAAAAAAATTCGAATGAAGAAGGATAAGATATGAGGATGAAAAGAATTTCAAAATACCCCCCTGCCACCAAGGTATACGGTAATTTCAAGCAGAATAATTGATGAATAAAGATCTTTTGAACATTTATGAAAGACAGTTGATGGATAACTATACGTATAGTTAACATGAGCACTTGAAAGAAACTTTTTTTTTTCATTTTTATATCCTCCTCGCTTCTCGCAATCCTGGTCGTTCGTGTTCTATCTCATATGCTCATACTCGGTACCCCCTGTTGGCTTCTATTCCAAAAATGAAATATTATGGGGTCAGATGGCAACATTGATGAACGACGACATCAACGACGCAAGGAGATGAATATTTTTTTTTCTTTTTGCAAATTTTTAAATGATCATGACGTCATGAGAGAAGAAGAAGGTTAAAAGTCAGAGCCGACGAAGGAGAAGAAGAAAAAAACTTTTGTTTTAAAATGTTTTTCTTTTTTTCTCGTCTATGTGTATGTTAGCTGCTGCTTGTCTTCTCATCATCATTTTGCACATCATCTTCTACAAACAGACGACACAAGAAAGTTAGAAGACGAAAGGATAATTTACTCTTCCAATTTTTTTTTTGTTTCGGCTCCCTTGCTCCCCTAAACATTCGCGTTTCAGTCATACTTGGCACTCAAACCGATTGTTTTGAAGAAAAAATTTTAATTGTTTAAATGGAAGAAAGTAGAAGATTTCTTTTAATTTGTTTGTTTTCCTTAACTTTCTGCCGCCGTGAACTCAAGAAGACTTCGGGAGCACAGGCACATGCACACCGGCAGACAGGCAGATGAAGACATGATCACATACATAGAGCCACCCAAAAGACATAAATGAAAATGAAGATTATTTCCGTCTTATCGAAAGGATATGATGATGTCACGTCATCTGCAGATTAGGATAGAAGTAAGTAGAAGTTTAAAGAAGCTTCTACACCACCAACGTCACCTGGTCACAGCTTCTAATATGCAAATCATGCAGTTGTTGCAATTAATGATGAAAGTCTCCGGAATTATATGCAAAATTTCATTTTCTGTTTCCCATTTCTGTCATTTGGCTCTCTACTATCTCTTCAGGATACTCTTTCCATCTTGTTCAGAAGTTTCGAAGAAAATTGTCTTCAGACACGCAACGTCCGTTAATCACATTTCGTTCCTTATACTTCCAAATAAAATTATGAAAAGTTCCCTTAGGTCATATGGAACAATTTAAACTTTAAATTTTTAAAAAAAGCGAAGAACAAAACGAAAGACGCAAGATGCCTGACGAAACAAGAATATTCAGCTCACACAACTCCTTTTTCCCGCTAATTTTCAAACAATATATGGTTTTTGAGATGGAAAGACGAGAGGAGAGCAAGAGAGTGAGTCGTCACAACGGAAAGTTTGCCAGCCACGACGTCACGAAGGAGTAGCGATTTATGAATTTTTAATTGTTTCATCATTCAACCATTCTCGTGTCTACACTTCCATGTAAATAATGAAACTGTCTATGTCGTCATCATTCACGTACATATGTAAATCACGTATTCACGTGAATGCCCACGTCCAACGTGGCATGAGTTCACGTATTACATCATTCTAATTTGTGTGTGTGGTGATGATGATGGTGATAGTAGATGGTTGGTGCGCATTGCGTACTCTTGGACGTCAACTTAATTAGCTATTAACATGAACATTATAAAAGTTAAATATAAAGAATAATTTCTATGTTATTTAAATGTTTGAATGAACAATCCATCAACATTTACAAGTTATCATCATCATCCTATCGACAACATGTTAGCTTAATGAAGCGATATAAAGTTATTTGATGGCTTTTTAAAGGAAAGTATCTGAAGCAGAACGAAATTTCTGGAACAGAAAAAGTAAAATGGAAGTTTTAATCCTAATGTAGTTCATTCAGATAATTTATGTATTTAACCATATTCTTACTTAGAAAGAAGGAGGAAAGAAAGAGAGAGAAAGGGTATGAAGAGAGAGAGAGAGAGGATAGAGAGGTGGAAGGGAGTGAAATGCTTTGGACATCTTTTCGTGCTTTGACGAAGACGGCACGAAGATACTCATATCAACATGACAGCATGTTAGTGACTTGTGTCCGTACAGTTTAGACTACACTCCGCGTAAGGTAACTACCAGCTTCATACCGTAATCCAATAATTGTAAGTCTCAAAAATATTTTTTTTGTTAGTCTCATCTCATCTTTGAATTAAGAAAGGATTAAAGTTGTTAAGCAAACAACACAACCAACACTATAAAGAAAGCTTTAAAAAAAGCTTTTCAATTAGGAAGCCAAAAAAACAACGAAAATTATAAAAAATTGATTTAGTGAATGATGGCAAGTCTCTGGAGGCCGGTTGCTTTCATCCGAATTCTTATTTTTCGTCTTTGGTTCTTGAAGTCAGAGTATTAAGAGAAATATTTATTATTATTATCATAACATATATATATATATATATACAAATTGCGTTAATTATTACTCGTTTGATTGGCTGTTCGAATTACGACAACGGCGTATGCTGGCCCGTATTCATGAGTTTTCGAATGCTCTTCTGGGAACTGCACTTCATTGACCGGTGATGGATTATCATTTGCAACTAATCGTTCAGATGGCTGACGTTTTTGAATTGACATTGGTTGTGAAGGCATCTCAGTCGGTTTCATTGTTGATGTTGAGTTGGATGCCACTACTAGAGTTGTGTTGTTTGATGGTCGTAACGTGGATGTCGTTGTGGTTACGGGGGAAGACGATGCTGTCACATTCAAAATAGTTGAAGGTGGAGATGAAGTTCTAGTTGATGATGTTGTTTGGAATGCAACTAAACGAGTAACGGAAGTTGAGGCTTTAGATGTTGTCTTCGAAGATAAGGAGGTGATTGTTGATGTCGTAGAAGTTGCCAAAGATGTGTTTGTTACGGATTTTACAGTTGAAGAACTCGTGTTTACGGCTGAGGTGTTGTTGGGTATTAGAGTTGTGGAAGAAATGGTAGAATTTGAATTCTTCTTTGAGTCTAACGGGTTCGATTGAGGTTTCAATGTTGTTACGTTGTTTTGCGAAGAAATAATGGAAGCTGCGGTCGAGGTCGTGTTCAGAGCCGAATCTGCTAATGGAGTTGAAGATGGCCGTTGTGCTGTTACATTCTTGGATTGAGAAAGACTTGAAGTTGTAGTCGTTGACAGAATGCTTGTTGTTGCATTCGTCATATTAGACGGTGTGGGAGATGTCGTGGTTGAATTCATGTTATAAGAATCAGGCCAAATAAAACAAAGAGGATCAGCAGGGCTTGGAATTGAAAATATAATTGGAGAAGAAGTCATTGAATAGATATAATCTGTAAGAGACAGCTAGGATATTTGACATCATAAGGAACTAACTCATATGCATCAAGTTGAAATATCTGTAAAGGGGAACAGAGGCTCCACATGCTCCTGCAGTTTTTGCACAGAAAAACGTTTCACCTTCGTCAGAATAGTTCTCATAGAAAGAATTTTGTTGGGAAAGAGGTGATATACGATGATTCAAGCGATCTATGAGATAAAACATTCATAAGTATCTTGAGAAAATGAAAATTACTTAAAGGAGCTGAAGTTTCGACTTGCTGTTTGAGTTTGATCAAACAATCACACGTTGACTGATGGTTATTCGGCAATACTTTTCCATATGGTTTCTGAAAGTAGATTTGTCTGTGAACATATTCCATAAGGAACTAATACGTCAAGCGTATACTTAGCTAAGCTAGGATCCGATGATGACCGCGTAGTCAAGTATCGATCAATAAAAATGGCTGGAAGAGATGAAATTGGATTTCATGGATGAGTTAGAAATGTGTTACCGATTTGATCACTCTTGTATTCATTCAATGGAATTAGATGTTTACTTTCTATTTTGTCTTTGCTGGCACACGATTGCTCTGTAGATGCACGCGGTTCACGAGCAGCTGAAAATGAAATTTTTTGTTTGAATTCATTTGAAATTCAAATTTCGTTTTTCACAAGGCTATACGGTACTTCACGTATTTCACGTGAACCACATGTGAATTCGAATTTGTTTATAATTTTCAGTGCAAGAAGTCAAAAGATCGGTTGTTTCTATGTCAAAGATCTTTTTTAATTATTAATTTTATTTATCCTTCCGGATGGAATTACCAATTGTCGGCCAGACATAGCATAATGGAAATGGTTCCCGTACATAGGATGAGATTGATGATGTATTGAAGGAATACGCATGATCTGAAAAAATCAAGAAGATACTTCTTATAACCAATATTTCGAAATATTATTACGTATGCCAGATGAGTCAAGACGATAATGACGATAGAGAGGTACAGTAGCTCCACAAAATCCTGATTCTCGAGCACAATATAAGTTTTGATCTTGTGACATTGCATTATAGCCTAATGGAATCAGTGCAGGATATGGATCACGTACATGTAGTAAGGAACCTTATATACTTATATATTCTATATGTTAGATTAGAATATTTATACCTCCATGATTAGCTACATACGTTTTCATTCGAAAAATGCAATTATTTGGACATTGCTCACTAACACCACTAACCATATTAGCTTCTGATGTGGGGTTAGTTTGATTACTGGGCTTTAACGCTATGAATGATCCACGCGTTTGCTCCTTTGTGACTGTTACTGAGACTGCAAATGTTTTTTTTTCGCTTGTTGTTTTCGTTTTGTTATTCAAATTATGTAAAGATGTTTCTACCTGTCACTGAGTCTGGTGGACGTTCGGTGCATGAGCTGTCACATTGGGTTAATGAAATGGTTGTGAATAGAATAAGTACTTGGATACGCATTGGAATTTATACTGCAAATTAAAAAATGAATGAGCAATAACATGGAGAAGCACAGGTGAAAAGGTCTATTTATGTATTTTGGTCGCGAAAAAAAAAATGAAAGCGGACTGAATAGGAGATGTCTGTATGCAGTAAGAGGAGGAGGGTGGTGAAGGATAGTGTGGATGAGAGAAGTGAGGGTGAAAGAAACTACTATTATGATTTTGTATAAGGTTAGTATTTATAGTAGTTAGTATATATAGTTACACATATCCAAATATAGTCTTATGTCATAGAAGACGAGATGTGTTAGTATATGAGGAAGTAGAGAGTGAGGGATAGGTTGATTGGAAGGATATGCATTTGAAATGCAATCTTGTCATCAAGAGATAATACGAATCTTTCAACTCGACAAAAAAAAGAATTTCCTTGTTTTAATAGTTGACGAGGTGAAGTCATAAAAGCTATATGATTGGGATAAAGCGATTTAAAGATGGATATGTGCAAAGGACAAAAGTTCAAATTAAAGATATAATATTAATACACATCATTCTATATATACTCAGAGAGAGAGGAGGGAGAGAAAGGTGTTAGAGAGAGAAAACTATACAGAGAGGAAGAGAATAAGAACGATGAGCACGTGTACGAGTTAACAACGATCACAAATCAAATTTTCCATAAAACTTTCCGGATGGCGGTAAAGCATTGCATTGGCTTAAAAGTGCAAAACATTTTGGACGATCTGATACAGAGAGTAGAGCGAGGTAGAGACTGACTCATGTCTCACATATTGAAATGACTTCGTTCTAATCTTAACAATCCAGAGTTCGTTTGGGTCGTCTAAAAACACAAGACAAATCTGAATATCTGGTTCATCCATACATGTATGTATATATGATATGTTGCCTTTGTGACCTGAATATCCATGCGTTTTTGTAGCGATCGGAGGAAATGAACATGGATAATCCAACTTATGAATCTGTTCTTGTCAGAATTGCGTCTTCACATGCTTCGCTCAATACCTCGCATACAGGCATTTTCCTCTTTTTTTTTTTCCAAAAAGAAGCAAAAACTATGTGGCTGGAATGAAAACAATAGCAGTTGTAGGGTGTGCCGTATGCGAGATACATTTACACATATTAAATATTATTTTTTTGATTTTTTAGACATTTTGATACAAATTTAAGTACAATACATAAAAAGAGTATTGAAATCTTAATCCGATTAGTGATCAAAGAAACGTTTATTCATTTAGATTATATATTATAACAATTACAATACTTTTGGAATACTATATGAAAATATGTCTGCTGAATTCGTTATGTTAGGATCTTTCAGAGGCTCATCTGTTGTATTCACAAGCTCCTCAGATGCCTCTGTTGTACCATCAGATGACTTACTGCCTATTGACGGCAACGTTACTGATGTGGGTTCCCCACCTTCTGTACCATTCTTATTCAATAGAGAAATAGGATCGAGTTGTAGGTTTGGATCCGGTGTTGGGAGCGTTTCATTTGGTTTTATTGATTCCGATGTTAAAGATGCTGCAATGGTTGACGTCAAGTTATCGGTCATTGAACCTTTCACTAGTGAACCTGGAACCGTTGAAGAGAATTCGTCAGATGTGCTTGACACACTCATCGCTTTCCGATCGGTTGGGATTATTGTGGAAAGTCCGTTTCCTGATGTCGATGTTGCAAATACTGTAGACTGAGTCGTAGATTCTAATGTTTGACTAACTGTTGAAGCAAATTGAGTTGCTTCAGTATTCATAACCGATGTTGTTGATTCTACTGTGTTCATTACCGTGCTTCCTGCACTGCTAAGTACACCCTGTGTTGGCTGGGCTAAAGGTTGGTTCGGTACACTGGGAGTAGTTTGTCCCATATTTTCATAGCCAAAGAAAAGATTAATAAGGTAGTTGCTCATTTCGGGTAACATTTTGTTCAAGTTGGCTATTTGCATAGGATCATCAGAGTTTATCATGCCAGTGGTTAGCGGTACTCCTGTAACACTAGGTGTAGTTAACAGAGCGGGAATCGCAGTAGGTGAGAATATTCCAGGAGTTACTGTTAAAGGCATATCCGTTGATGGTGCCTCAGTTCCCCCGATAGGAGGAAGAATAGTTGAAAGCTCTCCATCTACGACTATTACTGGCAACGTAGTTGAGATACCATCCATACCTCCAACAGATGTCATGGTGGTGAGACCGTCGAGCCCTCCAACTGTAGGTAAAACAGTAGTGTCAACCATTCCACCAGAGGTTGGAACTACAGTTGTGAGACCATCAACAATTATCCCTGGTACAGGTGTTGTGAGACCATCAACAATTATCCCTGGTACAGTTGTTGTGACACCATCAACAGTTATCGCTGGTACAGGTGTTGTGAGACCATCGAGCCCATTAACTACTGGATTGACAGTTGAAGTTTCCACGCCTCCCACTGATGGGATAACAGTTGAAACGCCATCCATACCTCCTACAGTCGGCAACATCGTTGAAGAAGAGATAATATTTTGAGGCATTGTTGTCACTACCCCCAAATCAGGTAATGAAGTTGTTGGCAATGAACTGTCTATTGTAAAGCTAATTGTTTCTGATGTAGTGAATGCTGTTGGAACTACTGTTGTTACTGAAGAGTCTGATGAGTCGGGAGTATTAGTCGTACTCTCCATATTAGGAATACTTGTACTGATCATAGGCATGGTGGTAAGTATTGTAGGAGGTGTGATAGTCGTAGCTTCCGGTGAGGCCATGACTGTAGTTTGATCTATCGCGCCTGAAGTTGAAGCTGTGGAAGAAAGCGGAGTAGTATCGGCAGGCGCAATTAGTGTAGGATTCGTAGTTGTTGATAGTTCATCACCCAGTGGCCATATATAGCATAATGGTAGCTGCGGATATAGATATGCGTATGGAATTGGATCAGAGTTTGTAGTGATTACCGAATCTGATAGAAAAAGTATGCTTTCAATGATGGAATGGATGAGACATTAAACTCACCAACATCAAAGTAGTGAAATGACTTCCATAATGGTAATGTAGCTCCGCACGCCATCTCGGTGGCACAATAGAAGACTTCACCCGTCTCTGTATATTGTTCATATGGTCGATTAGGTTCTGCGCCATCAACGACAATCTTGTGATCAAGCCTTCCTAAAGTATACAATGAAATTCTTATAAATAAGAAATGATTACGAAAAATTCCTTCCTGTTTATCGACCATTTGAACAATTTTCGTTAAACAATCGCAAGATGATGAAGGGGATGGAGCAACACGCCCAAGTGGCTGCTGAAATGTGACAAAGAAAGTTTTTTTCTGTTCACTATAACCTTATAATGAATGGATTCACCTGCTCTGTATAGCCGACAAGATCCGAATTGGTCTCATTAGTTGTAATAGTATAGTAATGATCTCTTTGAGTTCCTATAAAGCAATGTATACACATAATTTCTATTTTATGTGAAAAACCTGGAGCATTATTATCATAAACACGAAGCAGTTGAAGTTCCTTTATTGGCATGGACTCATTAGACATGCACATAGATGTTGTTGCCCTTGGACTTCGACCAGCTGAATGAAATTGTTAATTCAATTTTTTTTTTCATCTCAACGGAAAAGTTAATCAATTATTTGACGTATAAAAATTGTAATTTTTACGTCATTTATAAAATGAAAGTAACATACGCATGTTCACGTTCCCAATGATCTTTAAGTCATCCGGCAATGTCCACAAATAGCACATTGGATAATACTCTCTTGTAAAGCCGCGTATATTAACTTGTGAGGAGAACGAGTAGGCATTCACTTAAATAGATTCATCTTATCATTTTATATGTTAATTCAATTGTTTACGCAAGCCTCCAGGAGTATATCGGAAATGACGATATAAGCCTATTGTAGCTCCACAATAACCAAATTGCCGAGCACACCTGATGGGCGAATCCATCTTGACATCCTGATAGTTCGGAGCAATCATGGTTCCTTGGAAATCTAATGCATAGAGAATGGTTCGATGTGTTCGCACTGAAACATTCATTATCTTAAATAATATATTTCAAAAAAAGTTGTTCGGCTAAGGAACGCATAGCAGCTGACTTTCCTTTGTCGCAGAAAAAAGTTTTCTTTTTCACCTGCAGAAGTTGATTTTTTCGTTTTTCAATGAATTATCTTAGTTGAAATTCAGAAAAGACTATAAACATTTGCATTTTCAAACGACACCATCTGAATTCTTATACATCGACAGAAAACATTTCTGAAGACGTTCTGCAAAACGAAGGCTGATACTTTGAAATCAGAAAATCAACAGCTTTCAATCTAATTTCGAGTTGTACGGTAATTTGGTTATAGTGTGCGTATATGTGCGTATTAAGATTAAGAGTATGAGGTTTTTACATGACACGTACCATCACGACTTCTTGGTCGAAATGCAACTATCTGATGAGTGCATTGCGCGGAACAGTTTCCGTTCTGGACAGTCAAGAAACGTGCACCATAGGGAGCACCAGCTCTTTCTGCTTGGCTTTCTACTTCCAAGTTGTATGTAGGATGATCAGTATCCTTGTTAGCTACTTTTAGAGACAAGTAATCTGAAGAAGTACAACAGTGATGAGAGAGAACGAATGGCAAACTCACTTAGATTGTCTGGATTCACACGTTGTAATAGACAATCTTCCGTTGATATATCAGATTTATAACAGATGATATAGTTAATACAAATTTGAAGGAAAAATAAATGAACACGCGCAAACCGATTGAACATGTTAACTAATGAAGAAGCAAATGATCAGAAGCACGATTTTCTCAGCCAACGAGCTGTCAACTCCAATTTAACGTTTGGTTGATTAAAATCTGAAAACAGAGCTGCAGCACCATAGCAACATAACAGACGGCCAATCCCACCCATTTTGCTCATATCTCTTCTCTCTATAGTCTGAATGCACAATATAAATTCAGTTTTCTTCATGCTCTCTCAATTCTTCAATTTCCTTTCCGTAAATGCCTTCCACTTCCTCTTATCGAAATGTCATTGGCGACTGACTGTATCTGCTGTCGTCAAACAGTCCAAAAACAAACTATGCCATGCTAGTTCGAAATAGGTGTCTCAATGTACGACTCAAACTTATTACGATGTTTTTCACACCGTTCATGATAGGAAAGACTATCATGTAATATTCGACAAAAAGACATCCTAAGATTGTCTGTGAGTTCGCCGATGAATATTACGCAAACGATAGGCAACTTTATTTTCATTTCCTTCATTTTTTCTGTTCCACGTTTGTTCCACGTAAACACATACCAATGCTCGACGCTGATTGGCTCATTATCATACACGTAACGTGACCTTCAAAACTTGGCATTTTGGCGGGCTATTTCGAAACTGAACGGTTGCACCCGATAACATCCAATCTCAGAACGTAATATTACGTGGTCCTCCAAGGACCCACGGAAAATTTTCCAAATTCCCTCAGCAGTGATGACGTAGATGCCGTTTTAGCGAATTTTCGTAATGAAAATTACCACAAATACCTTATTATAGATTTATATGAGATTGAAAAGGGAAAAATTCAAAATTACGAAATTTATATAACGAGTTAGAGGATTAACAAGTTTTAACAATGGGAATCAACAATAACAAATATAACAAAAAAATTTAAACTCGAGCAGCAGGTTTTTCCTTGTCAATCTTGGCTCTCTTAGTTTTCAGTTTAAGAGCTTCATTCTTATCCTTCTTCAACTTAGTCTTCATACTATGATATACACGTTGATGCTTTCTGGCTAACATCATTTCCTTCATCTTATTGTCAGATCCCTGCAAACATACGTAATTATGAGAATCTACATCATCACAACTATCACCTGTTGATTCAATGCTAGTTGTTTATTCTTTTTGTGCATTCTTCCTAGTTCTGCGCGCATTCCCGATCTCACTGGTTCTTCAGGCTTCTTCTTTGGTTTCTTCTCAGTAGTTGGAATAATTGGTTCGTTCGCCACAAGAGATTCCACATCTAAGAGAATCAGTTTAAACTTCACACCCATTTGGAGAAACAACCTTTTCCGAGATTACGGAGTTCTTCCAAACGTTCGACTGGAATGTAGTCACCGGGTTTCTCCGAAATGAATGGAGAGAAGTGAGGAGGTAGTGTTGCTCCGGGCAAATACCTATGAATGACATGTCAATTACAGTCTTAAGGAACAACACCTACTTATTAGCTGGGAGAAGTCTGCGAGCATTTAAGCAATCGAAAACCCATTGTGGTTGCAAGTAACGTCTGTATAGAGGAAAATTCGTAACACAAATGGAAGTATCTCAAATCACCTATTTATGTCTACGTTCTTGAGAGGACGATCAACAATGTGATGAGTGATTCCCGCATCAGTTTCAGTGATGTTATTGGCTGAGCCTTCCCATCCGACTGTACCGCCACAACTTCTGATTATTAAAGTCAAGGCTTCTCTTGGTGTTTCTCTATTGAGGTAGAAGACGCATCCTTTGAAGAGACTCCTGAAAATCATTTTGTTTTAATGAAAATACTTTCAAAGCATACTTTATGGCTTTTATTTGTTTGATTTTCTCAGCTAAAGCATTATCCTCTTCGCCAAAAATATCAACTTGAACATCATCATCCTGCTCTGTAGGTTGTTCCGATTTACGAGCAATAGGCTTCGATAAGCTGTAAATTTTTTCGACGATTTCTTCGTCATTAGCTGAAAACGTCAAATTTGAAAGCCGTTTCGTGAATAAGCATCATACCTTCTTCAACAACATTAGTACCAGTTTCTATTTTAGGAGGATAATGAAGCCCTTGTGTAGCGAAGAGCCTGTAATTCACGAAACCAAGCATGGCTACATAGAACTCGGAGAAAGTAGTCTGTAAAGCAGCATTTAGTAAATTTCTTATTATGAATACGAACCAGGACAGCAAAATCAACATCAGTAACATGAGGGTTTCCTCTCTCATGGGGAACCAGCCAAGTGATCTTTTCTCCACAGATCTCGGCTTGGTAGTAGATACCCTGTAGCAAAATGTCTGAATGTATCAAAACATGAAAACTACCTTGATTGATATGAATACGTTTCTCAGAGCTTGAGCTTCAATTACGTAGTGCATGAACTCAGCCGAGAGACGTCTACAGTCATTGATAATATCTAACTTCAAGATTTTTGTGTATGGTAAAGTGGAGAAGACAAAAACGAGAGATAAAGCATCATCTAAATCACGAAGAGCTGAAGCGAAAGTTGGATATCTGAAACATGTATGGCTTTAAATGTCTAAAGTAGAAAAGGATACCTCTCTTTCACAATGTGATCGAGTGAATAAGTTGGTTTATTGTCGTGCAAAACTTTGATACGACCATCTTCCTTTTTGGCCTTCAGCTTATTGAATTTTTTCAAGAAAACCTAAGAGAAACATAGATTATCAGACAGTCCTCCTTCAACTCACTTTGTATTCTCTGAATTTGCCAATGATGGGTTCGTGAGCCAAGAAGTTGATATCTTTTCTATAGTAGAATACTTTGTTGTCAGAAGTACCCTTGTTAGCTTTCTTCTTATTGTGTGGCACATGTGGATAAATTCCCTTAAAAGAACGATGTATATAAGTCTTTCTCAAACAATATTACCTTCAAAATACATAATCTTCTGAAGTCTCTCATAGACAATTGAAGTTTCTTCATCGCCTGTTGGCGAGAAATATAAGTGACGGCGGATCCGCACTCATATTTCGGTTTTACTCTGACCTTCATACCCCTAAATGACTATTTAAGCATAATATTACTAAGCATTTACAAAATATTGAGTGAAAACACAAATTTGAATAATTTAAACATTAAAAGCTATTAATTTCAATTTCGGTCAACATAGCTATGGTATTATGGGCGTGGTTTAAAATGCATTGGTGGCGCAGCAGTGTTAAACGTTACAAGACCTTTTTCCTGACGCAATGAGGCTGCGCATCGACTGAGTTAAGTGTGGTGATATACTGGGAGCTAGATATGAAGGAAGGAGTTCTATGATTTAGCTATGTTCCACACAAACGAATTTGTGAATTTCTTTCTTCATAGAATGTGTGTAGATGTATATCCTTGTAATCTGAATAAGTTAGCAGAGTGTTACAACGAATTCTTAGTTACTCGGACAATTATCATGACATACTAGCTTCTGTTTTCGATGTTCTCTCTTGTGTTTTATCTCCAGTTAGCTTATTTAAATTTTTGTTGCAGGTAATCATGAAGGTTGTCGAATCAGCCGACTCTGTAGTCTTCCCAGAGAATGTTACTTTCTCTGTAAAGAACCGTATTGTCCGTGTCAAGGGACCACGCGGAGAGCTCGTCCGCAACTTCCGTCACCTTCATATGGAGGTAATTTTTGAGATTCAGTATTTCATTTTCATGATGTTGTATTATAGATGGAGAGAGTCGGAAAAAACACCCTTCGTGTTCGCAAGTGGTTCGGAGTCCGCAAGGAAATCTCTGCCATCCGTACCGTCTGCTCTCACATCAAGAACATGATCAAGGGAGTCACCGTTGGATACCGTTACAAGATGAGATCTGTATATGCCCATTTCCCCATCAATATCACCATCCCTAACAAGTCTACCGTTGAAGTATGATTACTATATAATTTCCTTACTTAATCGTGCTCTCTTAGATCAGAAACTTCTTGGGAGAGAAGATCGTCCGCAAGGTTGATCTCCCAACCGGAGTTCTCGCTGTCATCTCTACCGCCCAAAAGGACGAGTTGATCATTGAAGGAAACGACATCCAAGACGTTTCTCAAGCTGGTATGAGTTTATTTGTATTACTGGTGTAAATCTTCTGTTTTAGCTTCCCGCATTCAACAATCCACCACTGTTAAGGAGAAAGATATCCGTAAGTTCCTTGACGGTATCTACGTTTCTGAGAAGACCACCATCGTTCAAGAAAACTAAATAAGCACGTTGTTGATAAATTTGTTATTATCTTTTACTTGTTTTGATTATTCGATGGGCGGATTTGAAACTATATGATAGTTTCTTGGTACTACATAAGTCGATACTAAGCAACGGTGAATTTCGAATTTTTTCGTTACGTTTCATACGATGAGTGACAAGTGCGTGTAGTTTTTGGAATTGGAGATATGATGGAGATAATGAGCAACGACGATATTTCGTGCTGAATGTTGATTCGGAATAGTTGTATGTATTTCAATCGCCTGAAACCGTACCGGATACGGAAATTGATTGCTCTAACACATCTATAGTTAAGCATTGTCTAATTCTATTTAAGCGGGTTTAAAAAAATTTAATCTACAGTTTAGAAAGTTGGAGACATGGGTGCTGATATTAGCTAAATTCATGTTTCAACTAAACAATTATAAAATGGTTTTTAAAAACAGTGCTCGGTCTTATCGAGGAGGTTCACGTAAATTGCCTTGGTTTGAGTGAAGGCTTTGAGAGTATCAACACAATTTTCTCTTCCATGACCGGAATTCTTGTAACCTCCGAATGGAACATTCACCTGAATATGGAACAAGTATGGAGAATTGTCATAACAACGCTTACCTCGGTGTCGTTATAAGTGTTCAAGTAGACAGTACCGGCTTCAAGCTGAGCAGCAACTCTGTGGCACCGAGCAAGATTGCTGAAGAAAAAAGTAAAATTTGAACGCAAGTCTAAACTACCCAGAGAAGACTCCAGCGGCCAATCCAAACATGGTGTTGTTTGATCTCTTGACAACTTCTTCTTCAGTATCAAAAGGCAAAATCAAGCAGCAAGCTCCAAAGATTTCTTCACGAACGGCTCTGGCATCATCCTAAGCTTACAGTTTCCAGAATTTGAAATTATTTTGCAAGTACCGTCAAACCGGTGATGATAGCTGGCTCGAAGTAGAATCCACCTTCAACTCCTTCAGGTTGAACACGAACTCCTCCTCTAAGAACATTTCCTCCCTATATTTATAGAATGATATTGATATAATTCAATAGTTCGAACTTCTTGCTTGGCACTCTCAACAAATCCGAGAATTCTATTGAGGTGACCTTCGTTGATGTTAGCTCCAACTCTGGTATCATCCTTCAAAGGATCTCCAATTTTCAGTTTGTCATTAGCTTCCTATACAACTGATTAACTGTGGTATTCTGTGAGAGTTTTACCTTGACAAGAGCTTCAGTGAACTTATCAACAATTCCTCTCTGGACGAAAACTCTGGTAGCATTAGTGCACACTTGTCCTATATAATGAGTGATTGAACAAAAACATCTCATGATCTCTCACCTTGGTTGAGGAAGTTAGCCAACATAGTAGTAGCAACGGCGCTTTCGATGTCAGAATCATCAAAGATTATGAGTTGTGATTTTCCTCCGAGTTCGAGAGTGACCTATTTTTCAAATATTCCTGTTAAACATAATTTCCGAACATACCGGCTTGACATTGTCATGAGCTCCTTGTCTCTGAACTGCCAAACCACTACCAACTGATCCGGTGAAACTGAGTTTGCGAATGAGAGGATGTTCGCACAAAGCGGTTCCAGTTTCAGCTTCTCCTTGAACAACTTGATAAACTCCATCAGGTAATCCAGCAGCTTTCAAGATTTCTCCGAGAAGAACTGGAGAAGCAGGAGCAAATGGAGATGGCTTGTAAACAACGGCGTTTCCAGCAGCGAGAGCAGGGGCAACCTGAACATAATAAAATGTTGTTTAAAAATTTTTTTCTGTCTAACCTTCCAGACACAAGTTTGGAATGGATAGTTCCAAGCGCCAATGCAACCTACAACTCCGAGTGGTTCACGGCGAGTATAGGCAAAGCGGGTAGTAGCACCTCCGGGGATATCTAATTGATCTCCTATAGAACTCTTTGAATGTTAAAAGGAGCTCAAAAACTATGTGAACCTTGGAGAACTGCTGGTGCGATTCCAGCGAAGAAGTCGATGGTATCAGAGGAACTCTCGATATCTACACGAGCTTCGTAGATTGGCTTTCCATTAGTCTTAACCTCCCATTGAGCGATAGCTTCCAAATTAGCCTACAAGGGCGAAACTCTCTCAGAATACTTATTTGTTGAAACATACGCGAATGATATCGGTAGCTTTGTGGAGAACTTTTCCTCTCTCGAGTGGAGTTAGACTACCCCAAGCAGACTGAGCCTTATGAGCTGATTGAACGGCCTTATCAACAACTTCAGGAGTAGCTGTGGGGCACTTAGCAACAACGGCGCCTAGTGAGAGACATTTATATAAATAAAAGCAGCATGTGTTATACCGATTCTTGGCTCTAATACATCGAAAGTTTTGCTTCCTTCGACATGAGTGCGCTTTCCATCGAGGAAGAAGAGACCTCCAGAAAGATCAGTTGGAACTTTGAAGTCAGCCATTGAAACTCTCAAACTACAGAAGGTTAGTTAAGTAAAAGAGAAAAGGCAAATGAAAGACGTTTTTTGATTTGTGAAAGACCGACAGACGCTGATCGAATGATATATAAACTGATAAGATTTCATAAAAGGCATTCAAATAAAAACAATATGATTCCGAGTCTTTGAACACTCACAAATCCTTAGAAAAACAATAAATTGATAAGAAACTAGTAACTGATAAGATATAAATTATCTTTTTTCCGTTAAAATAGAAGAAAATCATACTTTTTTTATCGTTCTATCGTCTCGAAAGTGTCAATTGTAACGATGAAAATTAAAATTCAACAGTTTAGGTTCTATCAAACATAAAATTATTATTTTACTATCTTCTCAAAAACATATTCAAATGCATATAAAACTGGTCAGCAGGTTGGCTGGCTGTTGTGACTGATGCAGAAGAACTGCGCTGAGCAGACTGCTGCATCCTCAACTGAGCAGATCAAGATCTGTTTTTCAAAAATTTTGAGGAAGTTTTTAGAGGAGAAGAGCAAAAAAGCAGAAAGCTGATAGACATTTGACGGATAAGCGGCGAAATAGAAAAAAACCACGCCATATCATCGAAAAATTAACAACAACTGTTTTTCTTGAAGAATAATAAAGAGATGGAGGAAGGAGAGTAAAGGAGCTTTAAGCCAGAGGTCAGACTGTGTAATGGCCATAAGGCGGTTGTTGACAAGAGACAGTTGAACAATAAAAAAAAAGATTTTTGTTGAGTTGTATCTAAATGAATCTGGGTAACAGCAATTACTTGTTCATAATCGAATCAATTCAAATGCTATTTATAGTTTGTTTGATAATCAATCACTTCGACATCACCTCCTTAAGCCCTGAAATCATCATTCAAAAACAGATCTTTGTCTTTAAGTTTAACATTTTATTCAATTCCCATATTTCATTTTTAAGTGAAGAGATTTAAGAAGCTTTGAGCTTTCTATTTACATCTATAAACACAGTATGGCTGATGATGTCATCATTATCAGTAATACACCGAGCACTCTGTCGCATCCAATCGATTCAATTTCTGCAAATTGAACATTAGCGACTATCAACTAACTCATCTGCCTATAGTCAAAGAAAAGGCGCCAAAGGTGTTTGAACATGAATATGCGTTTCGAATATATGCGCAATCATTGTGACAGCGAGCCGATCATGTTACGTGAAAATGCCGTGGAGACTGTTTTTTTCTTCACTTTTGCCTGTGTCAATGCGCAGAACGGTTGTATTCAATCATTCACCTTCGTGTATATGCCATAAGGCTCTGATACTGTCAGAGTTATTGGTTTAAAGCGACTTTCACGACAAACTTTGTCTTTCCGTACCAAGAATCTTCTATAACATAAAGAGAAATGAGAATGACGATGTTTTGAAAGTAAAAAAACCTCGACATTCCTCCATGTTGTAAGAGTTCTGAGTTTTCAGCTGATAGAAATGGAAATGAATTAACCTCATTTGGTATCTGGAAACGATATCAATGATGATCGTTTATGTTATATTGATATCATTACTCGTCCGACACATCGATGAAACGTTACTTCATTCACTTGATCAGAAGAACCGAACAGAACTCTCGAGCTGAATGGCCACAGACAGCACGTTTGATCTCTGTCATAAGAGAACGAGTGTAAGAATATAATTTTTTTTGCATAAAACATACAATCCTTGTGTAGAATTACAAATATTTGAATAAGTTGGCCTTTTCTTAACTTCTCGTGTATTAATTTGTATTGTTGACTACAATGATTGAGATACTGTATACATAGATATCGATTGATTTACCTTCATGTTACGAGGCAAGAGATAACCGTTGTTCCAAGAGCCATCCAAAACCAATGCAATTTCACGTATTGTCATAAAGTCATAGAAGCTTTTCTAAACTACACAGTATTGTTTCCAATATTAAAGAAGTAATTGCAAACAGGTTGGAAATATTGAAATAACCTGTGTGAAGACGAAATGTTGACCGTCTGTTTCTAATTCGGGTGGATGTATGGTTATTGGCAATAGGACAAGTCGTGTTTCTCCTGAAACAACATAATGAAAGACTTAAGTAGTCAAACAAGAGTAACCTTCATAACAGACTAGCAAACGAAGTTCTTTATGATTGTTTTGTCGTGGATTTTCCCGGAACCAAGCTCGAGGTACAGCTAGACTTATGCTGAACCAGTTCGTCTTGCTTTTCTTCCAATGTCTCAAACATACTTGACAACACTACCAGTCAAAGGAACAGTTGGACGATAGAGAATTCCATCTCTGACAGCCATTTGAACATCTCGGTATTGGCGATCAGCTAGTGCTCCGCAAAATTTGGAAATATTCAAAGCCCTTTGCCGAACTGTAACGGAAATGAAAGGATGTTGAAGATATGAAATCATGATCTGACCTCCTACTAGATAGACAGTATCTGTTACAATATTGATACCATTGTCGAACTGATCTTCAATGCGGGAAGCTGATATGGCTTGCCGATCCACAGCATCAATATCTTTGCGTAAACTTGAAACAACACCATCGACATATTTTGAATTGGAGCTTCTTATAATAGATGGCCGAACTAGATATATATATATTTATAAAAAGAGAATTTAAATAATGTATTATGTATACCTGTTGGTGGTGGGACTGCTCGACCGAACAATCGAACTAGACCGAACAATGGCTCAAATGCTGTATAAGATCGCTGTGTTACATTGAATATGAGAAAAAGGAGTATTAACCAATTGAGTTGCATTAATCTAACTTTAAAAAATAAAAATAATTAATTGAATATCTATTATATGTTATATATAAATGATAATCTATCTTAACAGAACTATGTTCAGAGAGCAAACACGCGACAGTTGATCTTAACAATGGTGAGGAAGAAAAAGGATCTTAATTCTTCATTTTTTCCTCAGGGGCTATTTAATGCTTTTGTAGATATCTTCTTAGCTTCGTCTGATAATAGAGAGATCATTCAGAGAGAGAAGAAGAAGAAGACGAAGACAGAGTACGATTCTGAATATATTGAGAAGATGAGAGAAAAAAAACAATCCTTTTAAAAAAAGATATCATAAAGTTCTAGAGATTGAAATATGAAAGCTGAATGAGAAGAGAGGAACAGAGAGAGAGATATGCAACAAGCAGAAGAAAAGATGGGAATGACATAAAAAAAATGTTTTATTTTTTTCATCAACACAGCTTTTCATCACAAACCATGAGAAAACCACATCGTCTGTCGAATCTTCATGTGTCTCAACGGTCATCGATATACTTTGTCTTTTGCAACAACATAGAGAGAAGGAAGAGATTTCGTGTGACGTTTCACATATGCCTGAGAACGTCATCTTCAGCATCATTCAAGAGATGAGACAAAAAAAAATATATTTCAAACCAGATACATCTGTGCAGTTAGATGTAGTTGAAGACGTTGAAAGGTTCGTGGACGTAGGCGTCATGAAGTACAGAGAATTCATATCACAAAAAATTGCACTTTAAGCTAATGGATTTTTATTCGACGTTATGTTCTTCTTTTCTCTGATAATGCTCATCATGCTAAGAGATATGACATATCCGTGATACTTTGATTTACAATGAGTATGATGCCTCAAGCCTTACACACACCAGCAATGCCCTCACTGATACAGTAGATATTTGAGTTTCACATAATTGTCAACCGTTCTGTGCATTCCACATCTTAGGGAACCGAATATCCTATTTCCTTGTTATGTGTAAAACGTTGAAAATCCCCGTTGATTTAATCTTGAGTTTCAAAATAAGAATGTCGGGAAAGCCAATGAAAAGGTCAAAACTGTTTGTAAAACATATTCAAATTGATCTCACAAACAGTATGAGCTTAGAGTACGCTGTTGAAAAACCAAACATCAAGGATGAACTTCCTCCACTTGAGATAAGATTTCAGACAATCAATATAGTAACAATAGAATGAGTTCTAGAACTGTTTCAGTTGCGCTATGCTTATGGTCAGTTCTCATAACTAAATAAACATTCTAATGAATCATCTTCGATACTCGACCATTCAAAAACCAAGATAACAACAACCTACTCTTACTGTTTACTTTTCATTACTTCTTAATGATGATCTTGATATTGAGCCTTCCTCCCACAAGGAATTTTCAAAGATCATTCAAAATCCAGTTTTCGGTCTACCAAAGAAAGACACACATAGTGACAGAATCCGATAAGTAAAGACTTCCGGATGAACTGCGTAAGCAAAGTTTAAGTTTGCCAAAAACTGGAGTTTTGGCTGGCAAATCGAAAATTGAATTCACGTCATGGAGAGAGAAGTAGGTGTGTTTGTATGATCCGAAGTCTCTGCCGTGAAATCAGCATTTACGTGTGCTAAAATCATCACACACACTCTGTAACCTAGTGCTTCGCTCACTATTTGTGTATCTATTTGTATGAGCAAATGTGTATCTGAATTGACTCATCTAACTGCTTTTTGGCAGAACAGTTCAAATATTCTTTCGACAAGTTGCTTCTCCTCCTTCTTTTCACTGAAATAAATCTGGCTCACTTGGCACTACTCAGTCTTAGAGTTGTCCTTACACCGACATGCCAGCATTTCTAATTTCTTTTGCGCTTCAAAATTAAATGTTTAGTCGTTATCCTGCACACTCTTGCTATCACTGACTACTGCAACGTATAACGCGGAACTCCATGCAAATTTTTGCTTTTCCAGATGAGACCATTAATACTCCTATTAATAAGCCATTACGTATTCGCCCAAACTTATGTAACAGCGCCAACATCAAGAGGACAAGTTCGCGGTGTTCAATTGAACTATGGTATTCACATTCATATTTTAAAAGAATAATATTACCCTATATTCACAGGAAATAACAAAAATGATGTGTACTACGGTAGTGCACAAGCTTTCTTAGGTATACCATACGCTCAGCCACCCACGGGCGACAATCGTTTCCGAGTAAGAATTTTCATAAATGTTTTCATTTTTTTCTACGTTCAATTTAAATTCAAAACAAAACTATACTGAAAATCTTGAAATGAATTATTAAGGCTCCTCGAAGTGTCGATAATTACGGTACAAACCAATACGATGCGACATTTTACCGACCAAAATGCCCTCAAGCTAACACGGGCTCAAATACAAATGAGGATTGCTTATATCTCAATGTTTTCACTCAGCAAGTAAGTTTATTTCTTATTTTGTTAAATGTAAACCTGGGCAAAAAGCATAATGTGTGTTTTATCGCTTTTGTGTTTGTCATTCACGATTGATTTCATGGGGTTGAATTAGTCACATTGTTCTATGAAAAGATGATTAATTAAATAAACAGCTGATCCCCGATAAGAATGAGATCTCAGCTTCTTTGAAATCCGTTTTCTGTGATAAATGCAACCGGTCTGTGTGCCACACCAAACCACACTGAATAGATTGACCCAATCAATATTTACGTAGAAGTTCACGTCAAACCAAACGTGTCATAATCTTCATGATCTTATAGGCTGGCAATGCTTCTGCACAAATGGCTGTCATGGTCTTCATTGATGGCGATAATGGGTTAACAGAAGGAGGGTGTGATCAGACTCAAATGAAGGTAATATTCCTATTCCATTAGGGAGCATAAGCTTTTTTCTAGGGAACTGTACGTAATTTGGTTTCACGTGGAGTAGTTGTTGTGACCTTTCAATATAGATTAGGAGCTCTAGGTATTTGTGTTTCATCAGGGTAACAGTGAAATGTGTATCTAGGATTCTTCTCACTACAAGCTGCTCAGTTCCAGGCCAACAACGGAATGTTGGACCAAGTAAGTGAAACTGAATTGTCCGTCCGTATCTTTAAATCGTACAGGTCATGGCATTACAATGGGTCCGAAGCGAAATTCCAAACTTCGGAGGTGATCCAAACCGCATAACCCTCTGTGGACAAGGAGACGGTGCTTGTGCTGTTTCCGCTCACACTATGAGTCCTCTCAGTCAAAGTGAGAACAACCTCTACTGACCAAGTTCAAACCTTACTTGTTTTAGACTTATTCAGCCAAGCAATCATATCCAGTGGAACAGCCCAATCTTGCTATTCAGCTGATGGAACTACCTCCACATTCTCCAACCAACTCATGCCTGTTAATACTGTACAAACTCTCCAATACGACCAAGGGGTTCCTTACAGTCCTATGAACGGTTTCCAGCAACCGTACAACCAACAACAATACGATCAGCAGCAATACAATCAGCAACAGTACAATCAGCAGCAGAACAATCAGCAACAGTACAATCCGCAGCAGAATAATCAGCAACAATATAATCAACAACCGAATAATCAACAACAATATAATCAGCAGCCGTATAATCAACAGCCATATAATCAACAGCAGATCAATCAGCAACAGTACAACCAGCAGCAAAATCCTTCATGGCAACAAACTTATCAAAATCCTACAACAACCCCACGGCCAGTGCCTCAGATGGATCAAGCTCAAAATGCTTTCATCAACCCAAGTCAAGATTTAGCTCAGCGGGTATTGGTTAACATGAAACTAAAGATATTTTTCATTTTCAGTTGTGTAACATCACTCCAGAACAATGGAGATCCGGTCAAGTTGGAAATTTGAGGGCTTGTCTCAGTAATTATACCGTTGACTTCATTGTACAAACCCAAGGAGTTGAGCTTACCGTTTAGGTTTGAAACTAAGAACTTGTTTTTTAGAGCCGACAAGCTGCCTGGATGATTGTTCGAGATAACGCCTTCTTCCCAGATTCTATTGAGAACTTACAAGCTCGTCGTCCTGCTATTCCAGTAATCATCGGTACTGTTCAAGATGAAGACGCTGATTATGGTAAATTCACAATGATGTTCTCCTCCACGTAATGTGATGTATTCAGCTTTCAAATTGGTAGCAGATGGACACTCAGGAGACTCTCAGAATGAAATGTTCAATAACTGGATGGTTGACTTTGCTCGTAAAAATAAACTTAACCAAACAACATCCGAACATGTTTGAATTTCTGTTACGCTACCTATTGACCGAGATTTTTTTAGATTTCTAACATAATTGCTCCCAACTATCAAATTAGTTTGGCAAACACCTCCTACAGCGATCCAGGGTTAGAACTACTGTCTTGAAAGATGTCAAATTTGTATTTTTAGGCAGAACACAGCATATGCAGGTATAGGCAATGCAAATCAAGATGGCCATCAATATCAACCTTCCGGCGGATTCCAGTATGAGCAGGTATTTCAACCAGAAGACGTTAAACTGAAGTTTTACTATCTTAGTTTGTTCCCTCTTCCACGTTTTCTACTACGAGAACCCCCATGACTACAACACCTCCAATGATGACGACGACTTTTGTTCCACAAACGACAACTAGAATCTCAAACATTAGAGATTCTCAAACGGTCCAATCTTTGCGAACGATTTCCACGGTATTTCGAGAAAACTGATGAAGATTACGAGAGGAAGTAATGTTCAGATAAGTTCTGACTCGGGGATCGTCAGTGCCACTGCTACGGAGATAGACAGTTTCGTTCAGAACGGCGCTCAATATGTCCATGTGTATCAGTTTACTTACGTTAGCAATTTGGGAAAACCCAACAACCAACCTCAGATGAATGGATGGAATCGTATGATGCAGAATATGAAGAAAACACTTAAAAAAAAATATTTTCAGCCGTCGTTAAGGGACAAGATCAGGTATTCGTTATGATGAACGAAGCTGTTTGGTCAACTGGCAAACCTACAAAGGCCGATCGTCAGATGGCCGATCAAATGGGTGAACAATGGACTCAATTTGCTAAAGAGGGGTTTCAAAACAGCGAAAAATGGAAATTTCGAACTTGAAAATTACAGAACTATAAACAACTGGCAACCCGTATCTCCTACATCTAACTATAATTATTGCAATTTGAATTCGAAACCCAGTCAGCAGACAGGATACGGCGCACAGGCTAGAAACGTCTTTAATCAACAAGTCAATCCGATTGTCGTCCAGGTAAGGAAGAGGGTCATGCAGAAGGAAGACTGTCTCTATTCAAGGCACAACACGACCAACAACAGCAACAACAACAGTTCCAGCCAGGCTACTATCCACAACAAGATCAACGAACTGCCCAGTACCAACCAAATTATCAACAGCAACCACAACAGCAACAGTTCCAACCCCAACCACAACCCTATCAGCAACAATACCAGCCACAACAATACCAACCTGTGCAGTACCAGCAGAACAATGGAAGGAATATTGCGAATGGCACCTACAGCCAAGATGGACAATCTAGCACTTTCCGCATTACATTCAATCTCCAAGATCTCCTCTTGCCTTCCAACGGATAATATTCGTTTCTTTTCATCTCTCATTGCTGTGTATATATTGTGTATTACAATGTATTTCTATAACCAAAGTCGTATGCGATCAAAAAATAAAAAAAATGTAAAATCCGGACGTTAGATTCCAAACTTTGACGATAGGGCAGCCACTTTGCGAGTGACTTTCGAATCACGCCCACAATCTAATTCCACTCAAGTTCACGAGTCTTATATATTTCATTTAAAATTCAGTTGAAATGAGAACTCAATCCGTGAAGACAGCCTTTTAACTTAGTTCATCCTTTTTATTTGATTAATTTGCGTATATCGAATTTCTCAACGGAAAGTTACGTAACGTATTTTCATTCTGACGTCTTGTCCTTTGTCCTTGACCCTTTTCATTTGTTTCTCTTTTAGATAAGGGACGAGTTTTCTCCCATTTTTTGTATTCTGGCTGATCTTAGTTGCCTGAATGAGTCTGTATTAAAATGAGAAAGGAATAGATTCGTTCTAGTTTTGTTTTTCGCCTCATACGACCATATGATAGTTACTTTGGTCTGAGGTTTAAAGTTCAGCATTGATTCGTGCATTCGTGCTACCTATTCATTATCTTTCACTGATAAAATCGTCCTCATTCGTACATATAAAGCCTGCTTTCTCGCCCACTCTCATTCTTTATCAGTGATTTTCAAATTTAATTTTAATTTGCAAGTATAATTCAGAAGTTCAGATACAACAATCCATCATGAGTACGGGTACCGAGGTCGATAAGGTCGCCACTGAGAACAACAATGTTCAGAAGAATGACGAATGTGAGAACTACCTTGCTGACGTCATCGAAGAGTTCAAAATTCTGGACGACACTGTCGATTTCAATCGTGTAGCAGCTAAGGCAAGCTCGTTTCTTTCTTTATAAATTCCAAGACGTCGGAAGTAAGATTTTCTTCAAAAAACACGACTGAAATGGTTTAATGTTGACAAATTTTGTCTTTTTTGATGTGTAAGAAAATAATATTTGCCGTCTTAGTGTCGACCCATCTTCGCCTCGAAGGAGAAAATCGTGTGTGAGCTTACATTGGAACCACATCATGTTAACTCTAAGGTGTCTATCAAAATATCTTTTCAAATAAACAAAAATATAATCAAAGGGAACTCTTCATGGTGGCCTGACAGCTGCTCTCACTGATATTGTCACTGCCAGAGCTATCGGAGTCACCGTTAGAAACCTCGGAATGGCTTCTATTGAAATAGCTGTTAGGTAGTGCTAGTTTCGTTTTTCCTAAACGAAAAGCTTATTTCAGCTATCTTCTGCCTGTAAAACTAGAAGAAACCATCATTATCACAGCTACGGTATTGAAAGTTGGAAGAAACGTAGCTTTCGCCGAAGCTGAGTTCCGGCGTAAATCTGATGGAAAGCTGGCTGCTAAGGTAAGGACTGTCCGAGCATATTCCTCAACAAATTGGTTTTTCAGGGTAAACATACCGTTGCCATTCTCCCCAACCAACCAGCTGTCAATGGCAAAGTTCCACAATACTAATTCCTCCAATAATTCGAGCTTAAAACTATTTAAAACCTTTACGTTATATCAAAAATTAAGTGTATGTTCTCTATTTTAGTTGATTCATGTTTCATGGAAACGGTCACATGTGCCTCATTGGCTCAGGGGCAGAGCGTCTGTCTAGTAAACAGAAGGTCGCTGGTTCGATTCCAGCATGAGGCATTCGTTTTTTTTGTTGTTGATAGTAACAATTGACGCATTTTATCTGAAAAGAAACATTAATATTGGGAGTTCAAAGCATAATAACTGAGATTTAGTTTGAAATTCTTGTTTTCCTTCTAAGTGTAATGAACTATTCTTTGACATGTAGTTTCCTTTGATTCCAAATTTCAGAATATGAGATCTCTTTCATCCAGACTCACAAACGTGTAAGGTATCGAATGATGAAATGGAGAAATAATCTAAATACCATACCCCTGGTGCGTGACTGATTAGTTTGCACATCAAACTGCTGAACTGCTGAACATATCATTCGGCTCATTGCTCTTGGACACGACAGTTTCGATAAAACTATTTTATGTTTTATCAAAAGCGAGTTGAAGTCATTCGATTTTTGATTAGCTAAATATCGAAGTGAGTATTGAATGGACTTTATCATTAACAGAAAGCAGAACAATTTTTTTATGAAGTTCGAGAATAAAGAGAGGCGGTGATAAGATGTCGAGCTTAAGAATCTCGTTTTCACTCGTCATTCCACTATAACTCTTAGAACGGCTACGTCATTTTGTCAGACCGGCAAATAGGATACATGAAGTGACCATTCATGGTTGAGTCGATAGATAACAGCATTATGTTGATTAATGCTAGAGCTTCACATGCATATACGCGCATTGTTAGCTGAGCGAGTTAGCCAATCTAGCTGAATTCATCAACCTCATATACTTCTTTACATATCGTATTGGAAGCTGAAGAAAATACCTAGACAATGCTCACAAGGATGAAAACGGGTGGAAGAGAGTAGGACAGACTCTAGCGACAGTGAAGCATAGGAAAACTGGGAGAGAGAGAGAGAGAGAGAGGGAGAGAGAACGGAAGGAAGAAAGTATGTCATAGAAAACATAGCACATATGAGGTTAGAGCAGTAGAGAGCTAATTCTTATCACAACTTTGTTATCAATCGCTGAAAACGAAATAGCAAGCAACATTAGTGCGTTGAAACAGTTTCTTAAGTCTTGCCCTTAAATGGAAACAAACTTTGATGCTTTTGTAACAATTTTCCTAATCAGATGGTTTGCGCTTTCGAGGTTCGTCTCCATGTTCATAATTTTTCTCTTTTCATAATCATCTAGTGATAATGATAGGATGATGAATGTTCATCTTCCTATATCATAATCACTTACACAAGAAAATTCCTGAAAAAAATTATTTTTCAATTTTTTAATTACTCTAAGGTTCTCCTTTTATCATATCAAGCTGTTTATCAGCGCTTTTTTTAGGCAAAACGTTTGCTTGCCCTAACTATACAAAGACGTATAGTTAAGACAAATATATATTTATAATATATCCCTACTTGTGAGCTATTACACTCATTTCGGTTCAAAAACTTTTCGATCCAACTCATGCACCATGCACATACCATACACGATGGTTGTATGGCATACGACACTCAATGCAGTCAGTCTGCATAGGTCTGTGATGTACGGTTTTAATGCAAATCGGGCGATTTCAAAATTTTAATTTAAGTTTTAAAAACGTTTGTGTCGGATTCAACCCAAAAAGTCCATGTTACCTACCTCCTTGACGCATACTGTTTATCTAAATGTGTGGGTCTTTGAAGCCCTTGGCGACGTCTCAACATCAATTTCGAAAACTCTCATCATATATTATGCTCTCTCATATAGTTTTATCTGTAATCTTTTCCCTTTTGAAAACTCTTTCAAATATCTTTTTTTGAGACAAATTCTTCATCGCCATCAAAGTGCAAATGATTGGATGACCAATTAGGTTTTTTAGCTCTTCTCTGATATGATTGCGTGGCTCTTCCACTATACTGTTTGTACTAAGGCAACGATTAGGAGTTTACGAATAATATTTTTAATGTTATAAAAATGTATTTGATATTAGAAGAGAATCAAGAATGACTCCTAATGTGCTTTGACGTCTAAGCATCATCACAGAAATTGGTTTGTGGAGCTTCGAATGAAATTTACGCAGTTTGTTCTTTCCCTATGCCACATCATCATCATTATCAATGCAAGCATCACTCCGGCTATCTATTGCAATAACTTCTTATATATTATTAGCTCTTGTAACTAGGACGTCCACACCTTATCAGTTAACCCGATGCCTAAGTATATGCTCGCTTCCACATCTTTCATACTCTCTACACATCTTTTTCTCTCTCTAACTACCTCTCAATTATTATCCTTATTTCGCTGTCTATTCTCTTATCTTATGAAGCTTGTTGCTAAATCATATAATAAGACTTGTGAACTCCACAATCTTCCGTCTTCTTCCAGTTATCTTTAATAACTTCCACTTCCATCATTCATTTCATTTGCTCTTCCAACTCAGTTGCCAATCTTATGTCTTGTTACAAAATTTTTTTAGCTTACTTGATTTTCCTAGCATTCTAAGTATTTCACCAGAACAATGAATCCAAGTGATTCTCCGTACATCAGCAGGCGTAGATGTACTTTAGTTCACAACAGTAATCGAAACTTTCTCATATGCTCTGTGTATGTCTCTTGTTGCAGTACTTCTACAGAATGTGATTCATCACGCAAATCTTTCTCATATACTCTTCTTTCTGCTAATTGGCTAAGATCATTCGAATTATCATTGAGTGTTCATTAACATCCCGTAGGGAGCATAGAGAAGAAAAAAAAATTGAAAAAAAGAAAAAAAAAGAAACGAAAAGTATTTTCTCATCTCAACTGATCAAACTATCTGAAGATGAGAGAATATCTCAAAATAGTTTCTTCTTTCTCATTCATTCGTCTCTGCTATTGCATTCACATTCTGATAATTTGATATTTCTTAGTAAAGGCATCGCCAGCCTAAGAAATCACCAATGTAAAGTAACATTTTAAGATATGAGATAAGGAGAGAAAACAAAAAATTAATTAAACCATATAGATAAGCCAAATACTTTCATCACATTCGCCCTATACTTATTCAACTTTTCATTCTACAAGAATAAGTCTTATCTTCGCCTTCAATAATTCATTGGGGACACTGCTCTTCCACTTCTTTCTTCTTCTTCTTCTTCTTTTTTCTCTCTCCCTCTATCTCTCTCTCTATCTCTGTCTCACTCTCACAACTCATAGGTGTTCTTATACATTTCAATTTCACAAACTCTTCATATTCATTTTTATTCTTTTTTTATCAACCATCTCATGTGTATATGCTAATGAGCAGTCTCACGTACACTCACGTGAACTTTCTATAGAACGCGAGTTCATTTTCAAAAAACTCGCCTTCACAGACAGGTCGCATTCATCCTTATTCATCATACGTATATTCTTATTTTTTTCAATTCTTATCAAATCTCATTATTAAACGCATCATCTTTCGTCTTTAAAAGTTCCTCTTGTGTTGTCTGATAAAGAACGAATAGGACAACGACGATAAAGCTCGTCTGGCAGCTCACTAACTTATCGTCATCTTCATATCGCTAAAATTTTTTTTTTTTCGAAAATTTTATATTCGACGATTTTATCAGTCATAATTGTCATACCCTCTGACTCAATTAATACACATGAAAACCATTTATACATCTTAAGCAACGTTATCAATCTCTTTGAAAGTATGTTGCTCGTGTGACTTCTTGTTTCATAAAATTCCAATTCCGATCAGACTCATTAGTATTTCATAAGTATTTCATACATATAGCTTGATACCTCATTGCTTCTACCAGCAATACAAGCTCACTCTCTTTCGTTTACTGTGAGGCTGTTTCAGTTTTTCTAAACAAAACGCAAAGACAATCTGTGTCGCTTATTTGGGAACAATTTGTATTTTATGTAAGGCTTTGAAGAAAAAAATAGAAAAAGCGATGGTTGAGAGAGGTAGAGAGAGTGAAAGGGAGAAAGAAGAAGAAGAGAGAGAGATAGGTAAGGAGAATTAAAAATAAAAATATGTTGGACAAAAAAAAAAGAGGAAGAAAGCCTCTTCATGTAGGTGCGAATGAGACGAAAGGGCTAGAGAAGAGAGATGTTCAGTTGATGAGTGAAGCTATTAGAGAGAAAAAAGAAAATGAAAAAGATAGTTAAGAACTAGCCAAACAAAAGCTTTACCTTGTATGTCGATAGAAAGACGATCAAATGTTGAAGAAAAACAAGGACGCTTCTGATTTCATCCAGGAGAAATGGAAACAGAACCACAATCATATTAAAAAGTAAAGAGTGAATAAGAGAGAAACATGTATGACTAGAATGAAAAAGAGGTACTAAGTCACTATATGTGAATGAGAGAGAGAGAAAGAGAGTAAGATACGAGAGTAATGAGGGAAATACCAGTGATATGAAAAGGAGGACAGCCTAACAACGTTTTCCATTTCCCAATCACACCTAACTTTAACTGTTTTTAATTTCTTTTCATAAACTTTCGAATCCTTCCAGATGGCTGCCGTCTTTCTCTCAGTTAGGTTTCGTCATTCATTTTCTCTTATCTTGCTTCTTCCACAACTTACAGTCCAGATGATCTCAGCTGATCAATCATTCTTTTTCTCCTGGTTACTGCCTTGAGCACCTACATATATATTCATGCCGGTCAGACTATTTCGTACCAAAAAGGAAAAGCTGTCTTATCGTGCCCACGTCTATGTCTAGTGATTAGCACAAGTTTTCTTTTCTCATAAAACTTCTTCCATTTTTATATTTTAATCTTCTTTTACGACTTTTTTTTCTTTCGGGGTGTTGGCTTACATCTCAGCTTATAAACGTTTGAAACGGTGATTTAAGCATCTTCACCTGTGACGTCTATTGGTAGCTTCTTGGTTTTCCGTCATCCACCACACCTTGCTCTTCTTCCGTCTTCCTTCCTTACTCTGCTTCTCCCTCTCCCTATCTAACTCTCTATCTATCTATCTATCTATCTCGTTGTCGTTTTCATAACGAACATTCAATTGTTCGATAATCATTTCAATTCTGTACATCTTTCATCACAGAAATGTTAGAACAAATTATTCCACATATCCAAAACAATAAAAGGAAAAACCAACCTATTCATCAACTCATTGAGGTTCTTTCCATTTCTCTTCCAAACAAATATGGTAATTTCAATCTCATTTTCAGGTTTTACAAGCTAAGAAAGCAGCTCCAACCATGTCTATGCCAGCTCTGAAACAAGAGTTCTCTAACCTCTGCCAGAAGAAACAGGATTACTTAGCCCGCCAACGAAAAACCTCCTTATTAGTTGATCCATTATACATCGATGATAGTAATGCAATGCATCAGTAAGCTTCATCCCTCATTCATATAACCCCTAATGATGATTGTTTTCAGATTTTCCGGGTTCTATCAGAAGGTTTCGAATGCAGCAGTGCCTGCTGAAGATCATCAACAACAAATTAACTTAATTCAACAAATCATTCAAGAGTATGTTACGACATCGCCTGCTTCTTCCTTCTCAACCAATGCATTCAGGTCAATCATCATTGAATGGCCGAAATCAGTGAACGGTTTGACCGCTGACGGATCAGCAATGGAAATTGATATGGCACCGTTGATCCATCGTGCTCGTAACGTTGTAAAATGCCGAACAAGTCATCCCACCATGCGCATAAAGTGAGCACTAACTGTTCATTGCTTCTTTACTCATCATTCGTTGCACAGAGTTTTCGCCATCGCTAAAGAAGATGCGAACAGTCTGCCAACTACTGTGGAAGCCTTCTTCAGAGCTACCTTAGTAAAGCTTTCGAGTGAAAGCGGTGAACCAAGGTAAGATGTCGTTCCTTATAGTTTTGGAGAAAGAAAAACGTAAACGTTAGGTTTTTACTCGTTTTTTCTTTCTTTTTTTCTTTTTGTTAAATTTACTTTTCCTTTTCATTTTCATAATATTGATAATCACCTGTAGTTTCTTAGCTTTCACTATCAATTTGGAATTGTTTGTGTTGCTTCAAAATTTTTTTTATTTGAACAAAAAAAAGTATGAAAGAGGAAAAGAAAGGAGAACATGATATACTTTGAGAAAAGATTTACTCTTCTTCTAAAGTATAATCAGGGCAATACATGATGGTGATGAATCGAAAAGAACACAGAGGAAGTGTTAAGATAGAGAGGTGTAGAGAAAGAGAGAGGGAGAGAGGGAGAAAGAGGGAGAGAAAGAGAGAAAGAGGGAATGAGGAAAAGCATGCAACCGATCTTTAGCTTCATAAGATGAATAATGAAATGATGCACTTTCACGGCAATGACGTCACTATTAGCATAATTACAGATCCTAATTCCGATAACGAATTTATTATCATTTACACCTTTTAACTATATCATATAATTAAATTTTACGAAAAGATTATATTTTCAAAGCAAAGTCTGAAAAAGCAAAAAGCAATGAAAATGATTAACTACATGCAAAGCCTGTTACAGACAAGTTGCTGGTCGTATGATTTTGACTCAACGTGAAGGTACTCCAGCCACGAAAACGCAAGACCAGAATGGAGCTACCGTAACATCTGACGGTAAATTGGTAGCAAGCCAAGTAGTAATTTGAATTGTGAAATCAAATAACCTCTTTACTTTCCTATAGTCTAAAGCTGGAGTTGATGTTAGTGCGTTCGCTGTCTTAGAGCGTATGAAAGAGCCATCCGCTAAAACTACAGGATTCAAGTATGAGAATGGAATACTTTGTGCAACATTCCCGGAAATGGTTTGGCAGCATGTGTGCACAGTAACCCATACATCCTGTTTCAGGGAGTCACATTGAACTCTATGGTTGATCGTCGTCAGCTGGCTACTCGTTATGCTATCCAAGTAGAAGTTGTCATAAACATTGATTACAAGCTCATTATCAACCATGTAGAACATGTTAACAGAATTTTAAATAATAATAAAAATTCATTTTTCAGACATTGCTATCACATCCATTCCTTATTGCAATCACGAACGACCAGACAGAGCCCTTGTTGCATTCTATTTTTTGGAATCGCTTGACTGATAACGATGCGGTAAATCTTATTTCATTCCACCAAACACACCCCATCTTGTGTTATTCAAATATCTATTACCAATTTTATCATTGTAGGCAGCTACTGAATCAATTGATGCACATCAAACTGATGTTGCTTTGCCTTGGTCAGTCTTACGTCTGGCTTTGTTGAACTTCATCAAAGCTCAGCTGGTTCAAGCTCGTTCATTGTCAATCCATGAACTCTGTCATTTGCAATGTATGATTCTCTTGCCCAGGTATGTAGTCAAAGAATTGGTTCTGGTTTTGAACTGGTGAATACTTGTAGAGTAATTGAATGCAAGACAACAACAGATGTCACCAACTTGGAACTCATTTTCTTCGGTAACAATCATTGTACTACTACTCAAGAGCTGCGTGATCGTCTACTCAAGGAAGAAGTTCTCCCTGCCACAGTTATCGAACGTCACCAGTTCATGACCGTATGTCACTTCACTGAATTTCGATTGACTTATATCGGGGTATTCAGGACAAATGCGTTTCCATTCTGGATATGACAACCGAGCTCTCACATACTGTATGGCTGTGGCTGTTCAGAGTTTCTGAAATGGTTCTTGATGTTGGACACAGGTACAGTTTTCTATTCGTTCTTTGCTAAATGAATCATTTATAGATTATGTCCAAGTCCTTCTTTAGCAGATAAGAAAACTTCAAAGACGAAGAAGCAAATGGCCGCTTCGGAAGAATACCAGACCATGTTGAGTCTCTTCAATAGAGGGTTAGTCATGTTGTTTAGAAAATTTGAAGTAGAGTTTGAATATTATAGTTATATTACATTGGCCAGTGTTGACACAGCTTCTCAAATCTATCGAGACTCTCCAGATGAGAATTCGTCACTGATGATGAGATTCTGTGATGAGAACTGCGGATTCCTTTCAATTGTTTATGGATTCGATGAAGCGTTAGTATACTTATGCATGTCATAAAACAAATTCAAACTTTCATTTCCAGGAGTCCAACATCACTCAAGTTGGGCTCAATATCTTCTGAGCAATTGAAAGATTTCAAGCAAGGATTGCCTGAGGTGCTGATGGATGAGAAGTTCCCATCTTCTTTTGACAAGATTCTGCAAATCACTAGTGAGCCAGAAACCCCAGAAGAGTATTGTGTGCAAAGAATAGAGTAATATAACATTAGAAAACTAGTGCAAATGCATCCCTCTTTGTAGAAAGCAATCGGTCTTCCACAGTTATCGAACCACTCGATTACAAAACGAAAGCGTCCAAGTCTTCGACATGGAAACTGTTCGAATTAATCCATTAACAGGTTTGTTTGCTTCGTTTGAGTAATATTCATCAAAAACAAAAACATAACACAAAAACATTTCGTAATAGAGGAATGCAACCGCTCTCTAATACAATCTGTCCGAAAATGATAAGCGCACGTTGTTGCGCAAATGAGAAACTAGAAGATGCTCTAATCCGATTTCAGGTGAACGAATGGAACGTTCCTTTGCAGCAACCATGTCCAACAATGTATTGAATAGTCTTCAGAATTATCCACAATTGGAACAAGGTAACCGTTACACATCAAACAACTTCTTCTAAACTTCTGTTTCTTGCAGAGCTACTAGGACTGCGTCAATCGTTCGCTGGCAACACACTGCTGGCTCTGATTCATGAGCAGATGATGCAGATTCAACAAAGTAATCAGAGAATATCAAGTGATATTGAGCAGAACCTTAGTAGATCAATGGCTGCTGAAAGCGAACAGTAAGATTAGAGAAGTTTGATTCACAACTAACTCATGTAACAGAGACGACAATGTGGATGACGAGGAATCTACTAACACAATAACAACTAACACACCTAACCCAGTGGAAGTCACTCTCGTTACTAACACCGCTTCCATCCTTCAGCAGACTATTGAAGCTGCTGCTGCCGTAGCTGCAGCATCGTCTGAGTCATGAACCGAAGAAGACTAATTTCTCTTAAAATAGAAAACAAAAAAACTTTTTATCTCTTAAGATGGCTAGAAGCGTGTAAGACGCCTTTCCAGATTTACTCATGTTATTCTTCTCTATGTGATATGTATGGTTTTTAGAACATATGATAATCCCCACCTAGTCTTCCATCTGGGACCAAATTTTCTTTAATTTATGTCAAAGTTTTCTCTTTGACGACCACACACAATCAGTTTTGATGTTTCGTTGACGGAAAATCATGAAAAGAAGATCTTCTGACTGCTCTCTTTGGAGTTGTTTGAAGATTCTTCCCAAAAAAAAAGAAACAGGCTTAATCATGTCACGAAAATGAGCAGAAACTCTCCCTCCCAATAATTTTCAAGCATTTTGAAGCAGTCATATTCGCTAGCTCTTTAAAGCTTTTATCAAAACACTTTCTAGATTTTTTGCAATTGCTTTGTTTGTTACTTACAAGATTTTCAAAAGTTTTGTTTTGAAGCTATCCATCATCAATTGTGCCATATCATTGCCATATATGCTCAAACTAGAAATAAGCTTTTCAATTCAATTAACATATCATCTCTTTCTCTCTCTCTCTCTCTCCTTGTTACTTTCTATATCACTCTTTCTCTCTCTCTCTCTCTCTGTCTCTCTCTTTCTCTCTCTATTCTCTTTCTTCTCTTGTGATACCTCCAGAAGGTAATCTACTCGTTTTACTCTATTCATATCATGTGTAGCCCCACCGAACCGTTTTAAGTGTTTCATACTTTCAGATATATTGTCAGAGATCTTCATACAGAATGAAGTTGTCATGTGCATTTCCAAATAAATATTTTTTTTATTCTGAATGGGTCATGTGCCCACACACACATACACATACATGCATGCACATGCATGTACACTCACAAATACACGACGACAGTACTAATTTGCATATTTCTGATGTCATTTTGATTAGCATAAACATGATACTTGTATTTTGTGATAGATTGATTGCCTATCCACGCAAAGACAATATTCAAATTTATTTTGAGTCTTCCCGATCTTTGTCACGTGGCTGGTGTTCGCTCATTCCCAGCTTTTGAACTTTTCCTCAAATCGCTTTGTACGTGTCTCTCTTCTGTCAATCAATAGAAATAATGTTTTTGAAAATAATAATTAGTTTTTTTGAATTGATATTCGATTCTTTTCCACTGGAAAACGGGAAACAGACAGAAGGAGAGAGAGGGAGACAGATGAAGACGGAGGGAAAGAGGGAACCATAGAGTAGTTTCATTGTGTTTCTTCCCAGTGAAATATGAGTAAAGGCATATTCTATATTAGATGGAATAGCTTTGATACAAATATCTTTGGTGGCCATGAAATTGACTGAGATTTCTCTACATGCCCACACTTCAGACGGACATTGAATCTGCTTGTGAACGTGGTTACTTCTCAAATAATTCAGTTCATACATATGTGTGTGTGAGAATAATATTTTTGTCGAACACTGCATTGTAGGCGTACCGAACTGTTGCATTCATTCAGAAGACTGGCAGCTTGAGCTCAAAGCTCCCAAACAAGGACTTGCACGTTAATAAATTTATTTTGATAGAGAAAGTATTAAAGAGAGAGAGAGAGCGATATAGAGAGATAGAGAATTACATACATACCCGTTAGCAATATTGATATAATTAAATAATTTTTTTTCTGTTTCATGTGCAAATAGACTGAAGAGAGAGAGAGAGAGAGAGAGAGAGAGAGATGGAGTGAGGGAGGGAGTTGTGGTGGAAACAAAAAAATACGGGAATGGTTAAAAAGGAAATAGCTGTTTCAAGAGATATATAAGCTCATTATGAACTGAGAGAAATATGATTTTGTACAAGCACAAGCCACACCACACACACCACACACATATCACAACATATGAGAAACCGTAAAAACAAAACGAAAACTTCTTCTTTCTTTTTCTATATTAATCGTAAATATTTAATGTGTCACGCTCACAATCATGTTCTTCGCCCAGAAAATCGTGGACTTGCGGAGAATACTGAAAACAAGTAATGACATTATGGTTTTCGACAGGAGCTTAAACAACAAGCTTAAGCATTCAAACACTTACAGCAATTGCCATGAGACTCAAGAAGAGTGCAAATGTAGATTTGATGACAATGAACCAGAAAAATTGAAAACGTTCAATTTTGGTAAAGCCGAATGAGCCACAATCACGATTGCCACTGAAAATTGAAGAAAAAATAATAAAATACAATAAATGGTCCTGTATGGATTGATGGGAAGGAAGAAAAATGATCAAATGATACCTTTCATGGCAGTCATATCCACTGTCACGAATAACAACTGTTAAGCCGAGAATAATTCCTGCTAAGGCATTAGCTATTTGAAATGATAGAAATACAATAAGTAATTCTGAATATTCAAATATTCAAAGAGTGAGAGAGAGAGAGACAATGACTTACTTATTCGAGGCTTAATCACATAAACAATTGATGAACAAAATATGATTGTTTCCGTAATGGTGAAGATGAAAACAATCCATTGACATGTCTGTTCCAACAATGTCGTGTAGAGTAGTGCACTCACAATTATGGCTAAGGACAAAATCTTCAAATAATCATTTATATATCATATATCATCTAATATCTCGTTACCTGTGAAATAACAAGAAAGAATTTGAATCCTTTCATTCTTAATCTGGTAATGATAACATTCAAGATATTCTGAAAATACAACTGTATATCCTTATCGTTCTCTATAGATGGCAACAACGCAATAAGATGATGACGATGACGACAAGACAAGACAAGTAAAAATATAAAAATATAAAAAGAACTTCTTCCTCTCATCATCTGATCACTTACTCTTCTATCTCTTTCTCTCTCTCTATCTCTCTCTTTCCCTCTCTTTCATCTTCAATCTCAATTTCGTTCATATTTCTCTTCTTTCTTACTATTTTCGTCGGTGCCGGAAATGGTACCGGTTAGAAGGTAGACGAATAGATCGTTTAAGAGACGTTTTTTAGAGTTTGCCTCGTGGCGGGACCAAAAAAATCCATTTTACCCAATCAATCTCGATTTAAATAGTTCTTAGACTAACTCATACAGTATACGAAGAAAAATATTTTCTTATTCCAAAAATAGACGGATAACTATTTCAGCGGAGCTAAAATTACAAAAAAAATAAAATGAATGAGAGGATAAGGAAGAGCTCAAAGGTGATTTGGGTTTTTGATAATGGGTGGTTTGAAGAAGTAGTTTGATGATGAACACAGAGATTACTGGGTCAAATGACATTAATGGAAAGTTTTTGTTTGACAAAAGGAAAAAGAAACTGAAATAGTCGAACGAAGAACAACAAGGAAAAACGATTTCACAGATCAAATTTTTCTTTTTTTTTTAATTTGTTAAGTTGAAAGATAAAATTAGAATTTGTGTAAATATACCAAAACACGAAAATGTGAGAGATAGAGAGATTGGAAGAAGCAAGGCTGACAGAGAGAGAGAGAGAGAGAAAAGGCTTCGGAAGGGAAAAAAATACGAAAAGAGATAGGTGGAAAATGAGAGTGACAGAAAGGGGAAAGGAGAGACAAGAGCTGAAGAAGCTTATAAGTTGAAGATACCAAAGTGATTTAAGAGAAATGACAGAACAGAATCTTCTAAGCACAGTCAAAGTAGATCGTATCTTGAGAGAGACAGAGAGATAGAGAGAGTAAGAGAGAGAAACAAAAGGAAGAGAATAGGGTGATTGAAAACTGGTTCGAGAATTGGAAACCCGTCGAGAATTATTTTGTAAAAAAAAATAATTCGAAAATGATGATTATCAGTTTATTCTGAAAATTTTGAAAAAAAAAGCGAATCGATGAAAGCTTGAGCGAACTGTTGGCAAACGATAAAAAATAATTTATTTTGAAATTCAAAAAAGGCATATCCAAATGGTTTCAAACAAAGAGTTGACCTTTCTTGTGGTTGGTGAAAAGCGGACAGTGACAGTGAGAGGGAAGGAGAAGTAGGCAGATAGAAGCAGAGATAGAGAGAGCAAGAAAGAGAAAGAGAGAGAGGGGTTAAGTGAGAAAAAAAATTTGTTCGGTCCTCTGAAACATATGATTTGGAAAATATGATGAACTCTTGAAGCGAATGGGGGAAGACCTTTCCTGAATGACGCACTTCACACACAAACATTCGAAGAGCTGGATGCAGAAGATGAAAAAGGGTGTTGAGGATGAGGAGAAAGCTTGTGTTTCCACTTCCTCTTCTACCTCTCTATCCACCTTTCTCCCTCCTTCTCTATCCTCCTCACAACTCTCACTTTCCTCTCTCTATCTCTTTTATCTGTAATGAATGACATCATTCGACAAAAAAATCTTCACACTAGTTTATCCAGCTAATCAGGTTCGATCTTCCATTGTGTATAACATTTGAAGTCAACTAATTAGCCCTTACTATAACTTGCTGAAGAAAGGAAGGCAAAATGACTCGAAACTGATTGGAAGAAGAAGAAGAAGGAGAAGAGAGGGAGAGGAGAGCGAGTAGAAGCGAGATGTAACTCAGACAATCGGAGCTGATTCTTTGCGTAAAGCTTGGCCACAGCAATAGAAATTTTGAGTTTGTTTGTATTTCACATAATGAGCTTGTGCTTGTGACTTTCACGTGCTCTCTCTATGCTTAATAAAAAAAAATTTTAAAAGTAAACTGTAACTTGAATCAAATCGTAGTTGGCGGTTAATGATGACCTTGTATAAGCGATGAAACATCCACATGAAGTGCTTTCTCTCTTTCTCTCAACTCTCTCTCCAAAACCATCTTAAGATAATCGTTAACTCTCGCACCTGTTTCTGAAACTAATTTTGTCAAAGTAAAGCATTTTCATAGTTTAATGTCGATATAAAGGAAACAAAAAGTGACGACAATCCTCTCATGTGACAGCAGCTGGTCTCATCTCAAATTTTTTTTTTTTTGCAAAAGAGAGAAAAGTCAAAATCAAAAACGAACACAACTAACAATCGGACGATGAATAGCCGGAAGGCATCGATATGAAGTATCAAATCTATGCCAATGACATCATTATCTGTACCGTTTGATATTCAGACAAAAGGTTTTGTATTGTTTTGAGACAAGAAATGTAATATAGTTTATGGAGATAGTGGGAGAGAGAGATGTAGAGAGAGAGAGAGATGTAGAGGAAGGAAATGAAAAGGAGATAGAGGGGGGCGGGCTAAGGGGGTACTTCTAACAGATCTTAGAGAACTTCATTTTTTCAAAGCTCTGTTCTCAAATTAGCATATTTCAATGAAATCTCACGGGAGCAACGTGAAAATAAATTTCATTTTATAAATGAAAAGCTGCAAAGCGGTTGCATTCAATGAAACACCCTGTTCTCCCTCCTCTCTCTCTCCCTCTCTCTCTCTCTTTGAACCAAAAAATTTATTTTTTTGTGTTTCCAAACAGAAAGAAATGTTTTTGTATTGAAAATGTATGCTTTAAAGAGAAAAACAAAAAAAAACTTTTTTTTTGATAAATGAAGTTAAAAATGAAAAAAGAAAAAGTCTTTGAGGAGGAAAATCGTCGACACTTCATATGTCGTCGTTCCACGATCTATTCCAATGATATATTTGTTTTCATTGACTGATGTCTCTGGGAGGTTGGTATTTCCTCCTTCTTCTTCTAGCCCCCCCCCCCCTCTCCTCCTCCATGCATTTCCACCCTCTTCTATCTTTCTATCTCTGACTCTCTATCATATGCTGTTGATTTCTCACAGATCTTTGCTGTGCACTGCTGAACTGATCAACTTTGATTCATCTGATCTCTCAAGCTTTTCGTTAATCTCTTAACGAATAATGAATCTTTAAATTCTTAAATGATTTCTTTCAACCATGCACATGTCATCTTTCAATCAAATTATTCAAAATAAAATCATAGATGAAGCATTAAAACGTACAAACAACTGCATAAATCGCTTGGCAGAGAGAATTCAAAGTTTAACAGAGAGAGGGAGGGAGAGAGGGGAAGAGGGGGAGAGAGGAAGGGTGGATGGTGGAAGAAAGAAACAAATCAAAACATTTCGTTTTTGTGCCATCTCGTTCGTTCATGTCTCAATTGAAGGAATATGATGAACACAAAAAGCTAGACAGAGCGAGAGAGAGGGAGGGAAGGAGGGAGAGACAGAGAGAGAGAGGGTTAAGAGAGAATATAAGATAGTTGGAAAAGAAAAAGAATAAAGACAAATTTAAAAATCAAACGTTAATATTTACAAAGCATGAAATACATGTATCTACGTATGGATTTCTCTTATTGGAAACGAATATTTCAGAAATGAGAGACGTTTCGAATTAAATCTTTCTTTATATGGAATGTTCTTGTGAAAAAAAAGCCACATGTTTCCTTTGGAAGAGTGGCTTTTGGTGATCTTTTCAATGAACAAAGACGGAATTGAAAGGTTAAGGAGGGAGAGACAAGAGGGAGAGAGAGATAGAGAGAGAAAGGGAAGTGAAAGAAGTAGAAAGAAGGAGGAAGGGCTATAGAAATTAAAGCACAAAGATGAAGTGACAGAAATAATAAAAAGTAATTTTAAAAAGTTAAAAATAAATAAAATTGGATGAGAATGTGAAGTTGATGGAGAGAATAAGCTACAACCGTTCATGCTCACACAAGAGACACACACAGCACAAGAAACTTGGCTGTTGAAGGCGGCTTTTTACGTGATCACTCCACGTGTGCATGCTTCATTAGCATAATCGTTTTGATGAAAAGCTATCTGTTGTGAACGAGTTGCAAAGTTTGTAAACGAAACATTTCAATTTCATGAACGAGGATTTGTTTTTGGGAGAAAAAAGCAAAATTGAAACATGAACAGCCTGAAGGCAAAGTACTCGACCAGTTTTCATAGCCTGTGGGCAAATAGCTCAACGCCCCCATAAAAGGCAAAGAAATGGAGGAGGAGAAGGAGGAGATGAAGTAGATGAAGGAGATGGAGTTGAAGAACAAAAATGATGAGTTAAGTTATGTAAAATAAACTGAATTTCAAACACACACACACACACACATACACACAAAATAGATTATTTAACTAATTTTTGGGTGAAAGAGAGGATACGACAGACAGGAAGTTAAAAGAAAATATTTTTGACGAATCAAAGCGGAAGTCAGAAGTCAGGAAGCTTCATTTCATCCATATTTTGCACAAAGTCAGAGCTTAATGAACTTTTTTTCTCTTTCTCCCTCTCCCTCTGTCTGTCTCTCTCTATCTCTCTCTTACTCCCTCTCATACTCCCTCTGAGCGATAAACTTGAAGAAATTGAGCAAAAAAAAAAAAGAAAATGTTCGAAAAGAGTTTTTCTCAAAATAAAAGCGAAAAGCTGTCAGGAGAAGAAGATGGACCAAATGAGAGAATTTATGAAAGTCTCAAGCAATTTCCGAGAGACAAAAAGGCAATTTAATAAAACTAATTAAGCAATTACATAATAATTAATGGATTATACGATGAGGAACTGTCACTACACATTTCTATTTTCGGAAACAATGACATGGACATGCATAGTGGTTAGTTCTTACAGGAATGATCATCTGATACATGCATTGATGAGATGCATGAGTCTCATCACTAACTGGACATTGCCGCTCGCTCATTCTTTCTCTCGCTCGCTCTCTGACTGTGAAGCCATGTGATGTGATGATGTAGAGTTTAAATCCAG